CGCCCCGACCCCGAAGATGACTACTCTTCGGGTGTTACTCCACATAGCAGCGCAGCGAGACTACGAGCTGCACTCCCTCGACTTCTCCACTGCGTTCCTCCAGGGCCGACTGCACGAGGAGATCTGGCTGCGCCGTCCTCCTAGCTTCACTGACACCTTCCCACCTGGGACCCAGTGGAGCCTGAGGCGACCAGTCTACGGTCTCCGCCAGTCGCCCCGTGAGTGGCACGACACTCTTCGCTCCACGCTTCGTGACCTTGGGTTCAGCCCGTCCTCCGCCGACCGTCGCTGTTTGTTCGAGCGGGTTCTACTCCTTTCTTTATCCTTGTCTACGTCGACGACTTGGTGTTTGCTACAGCAGACAGGGCAGCCCTGGCTCAGGTGAAGTTCGAACTGCAGAAGAGACACAAGTGCACTGACCTGGGTGAGCTGTAGCGTTACCTTGGCTTGCAGATCACCCGGGACAGAGCCGCTCGCACCATCACACTGACGCAGTCACACATGGTGCAGCAGGTCCTTCGGCGGTTCGACTTCCAGTTCTCCACCACACAGCCCACTCCTCTTGCTGTTGACCACAGACTCACTGGCCCCTTTCCCGACGAGCCTTTTGAGTCCAGTGGTCCCTACGCAGAGCTGGTGGGCTGCCTCATGTACCTGATGAGTTGTACTCGGCCGGACCTCGCCTTTCCCCTCAGCGTCCTCTCTCGCTTTGTTGCGACTGGGAGACACCGTCCTGTCCACTGGACAGCTGCTGTGAGGGTGGCGAAGTACCTGGCGCCTACATCGGGCATGGGGCTTGTGCTTGGAGGGACTCAGCCAGTGGCGTTGACTGGTCACTGCGACTCTTCCTACGCTGACGACGTGGAGACTCAGCGTTCGACTCAGGGTTAATGCTTCAGTCTGGGAGCTGGTGCTGTGTCGTGGAGGTCTACACGGTCGTCGTCTGTGGCTACTTCCAGTGCAGAGGCAGAGATCTACGCTGGTGCCATGGCGGCACAGGAGCTTCGCTGGTTGACCTTCTTGCTCGCCGACCTTGGTGAGCGGCCTCGCTCTGCACCGACCTTGTACGCTGACAACAAGGCCATGATCCTCCTGTGTCGAGAGCCTCGACTGGAGAGCATAGTGAAGCATATTGACGTGAGGTACTTCCTCCTGCGAGAGCTGCAGCGACGCGGCCAGGCACGCCTGGACTTTGTGGCCTCAGAGGCCAACACTGCAGACGTCTTCACCAAGGCCTTGGCGCTTGGTGATCACCACAGGTTCTGTGTGCAGTTGGGGCTTGTTGAGGTAGGCCCTCGGTTGCTGTAGTCTTGTTGTTTGCTCTGCTTGTTGTGCTTCCTATTTATATCCTAGTGAACTCTTAAACTGGCCTTGTGGCCGCTTGCTTGCGCTCGGAATTTGTGTGGTGTCCTTGAGATCCACCATGAGCTTGCCTTGTTTCTTGCTTTGACTGGTCTTGTGACCGTTTGTTCACCTTGCTTGCTTTGATGCCCCTCACTTAGCCTATGGGGGTGTGTCAAATGTAATTCTATGCTTGTAGGCTACAGTGAGTAGCACAATAGGGAGTACAGTTGTTAGGGTTGCATATTTGTACTTCCACACTTGCTAGTCTCATCATTCCGTTGCATCCTGATTCTGACAGACAGGAGTGAGATGAACCGACTCATTGATAGAAATGAGTGAACCCACTTGCTGATCGTAACTGGCTCACTAATCTGGTAAGTATCAATAGAGGCTCTCACTGAGTGAACCCGCTCACTGATCTAAGGACATGGTAAAAGTGGAGGAGCATCAGGATCGATCGACCCGGAAATCGCTTTTTGACGGAGTTAGAGTTGGCTCTGTAACTTGCAGAAAGAAACAGTGTGGGTGTAGTACGGTGTCGGATCAATATTTCCTCAGGATCTCCACTTTTACCACGCCCTAAATGATTGAACGCCCACTGATGCCAATGATATGAAACTATGCAGTCACAAAGTACTCTAAACGATGAGAATGATAATCACAATAGATGGCAAAAAACGAATATATTCGGTTCAGGGGAAGATAAGAGTGTCCCTCTCTTGAAATTGTAACAGCCGCATAACATTCTTAACGAAGTTTTGTAAGTCGAATAATCTGTCACGGCAGACCGCTGCCAGCCCATCTCCCAGGCAGCTCTGACACGCTCGAAGGACGTCAGCCATCTGTTTGAAATGCTGTGCTGGAGTGTACAGTGGAAATGGTTGCACCTGGTCGAAGCGCGCAGCGCATGAAATTTGTGATTGAATCTGATTCGCTGAATCCAACTCCCAGCCTTTTCTACTTCCCGTTCGCCATGCTTACCTGTTGGGAACTTGGGTTGGAGTGGCCTCTCTGATTGCTGCCATTACCGACTCGAGAATTTCGAGCTTCCATGAAACCATTTGCTGGTGCCCGTCTAGCCGCTCATTGGGAAGCAAGCATTGCAGCCGAGCTTGATTGGCTACAAGACGATCTTGAAACTTCTTGCAGCAGGAGGCAGCACATTAGCCCTTCTTGCCCGTTGCCCGAATTTAGACCTTGAAGAAACGAATTCGACCAACCTAAACCAGAACCCAGCAAGCCTGCGCTTGTGCTCCATCCACACAAGCAGCTAACCTGCCATTGCTGGAAACCCCGACCCCGACTCGACTGATGCAAATTGATGTCGCTACGACAATGCCCTCCACATCAGGCGATCCCATGATGGCGGAGGGTCATCCTCGCAAGCCGCAAACTTGTACAGCCGTAGCCATTATTCTCTGAATCGGGCCACTCCGTAGCTGAAACGCTGTACGCTCATCGAGTTGCTCACATCCATCACTGCCCTAGATTGATCAACAGTCCCTCCGTCGCAGATGAGCTGAATCTTGACACATCTTCAAATCTTTTGCGGCGGATCAAGGTCAAGCGGCGTCGTGCGGATTGGAGGGAGGGATGAGGAACGGTTGACGGAAAGGCGAATGGGTGAAATCGCCGACTGGGAAAGAGGAAAGCACGGACGGATGGGGATTGGGTGGGCGGAAGGGGAGTGGTTCGACGAGACGCGCGCACGAGCAAGTCGCGCTCGTGGCGGGTCTCGTCGACGAGATGACGCAGCACGGTAGTTTCGAAAACCATATCTTCTGCTCGCCATCCCCATAAAACTTCCACTTCAAACCCTTGTTGGTACAAGCCATCGGGTGTCTCGTGGCTTCGTTCCCTCCCGCGTCTCAGCAGGGTGTTCTGTAACCCTAGCCCTTTCCCTCCACGTCTCACTGACCCATCCGGGAATCGGGAGTCAAGATTCTGATTGCACTTCCGTCAGGGAAGGGAGCTAGTCTGGAAGGAGACTCCTGAGGCAGACTCTTGCCGTAGTACTAGCTGGGACTCCACTGGGCATCCTCCGTTCACCGCATCCCCAGCAGTTTCGCCGCCGCGCCGCGCGCGCATTAATCTCGCCGTCATGGGTGCGGATGTGGAACACGAGTATAAGGTGAACGTGCCGGCTATCTCGCTCAAAGATGAGGTGGTTGAGACGGTGCAACCCTTTCGCCAGCTGCTCGTTATCGAAGACGACCCTTTCCAGAACTACTGATAAGAGCACGGGAGAGCGCGCCAAGTTGGCCCTGTTCTACGTCTTCCCGATCCTCGAGTGGGTGTCCAAGTATAACTTCAAGGCGCAGTTCTTCGGCGATGTCGTCGCCGGTCTGACCATCGCCAGTCTCGCCGTTCCTCAGGTAACCCACGTTACATTTGCTCCGACTGAAGCGAAATTGTCATGTCACGTTCGCCTCGTTAGGGTAAGTCCCGTTTACCGTATATCGTTGATCTTCCTCGACTGTTTTCCTCCTGTCGCCACTCAAATCCTCGGCCTGTTCTTTGTACCAGTGCTCGTGCTACTGGGTCTTACTCACTGCTCTGCTTATGCTCTCTGCTTGTGCTCTTTCTCCTTTCAGGATCTGGGCTATGCGGGTCTTGCCAACCTCCCTCCCATCAATGGCCTTTGTAAGTCGTCGCCCCTCTGCACTTGCGGGTCCATTGCGTCTACCTACTAACAGAGACTCCCTGCGCTTCATCCAATCTCCTCGCGTTTGTCGCGCTCCGTATGAAATGATGTTTTCGTATCGCTGTCTCGAGCCCTTCGCACTCTCGCGTCACGTGTGCGTGCAGTCGTCATGTCTTTTCCGGCGATAACAAACGAGCTTCCTGCATCTACAAACGGCCTTACTGACGCATGCCCTTTACCTTCCTGTCCCGTTCCTTTCACGATCTCCCTCCCGTGAACCCTAACAGACAGTAGTTTCCTGCCGCCGCTCGTGTATTCCGTGCTCGGTACCTCCCGCCACATCGCCATCGGTCCCGTCGCCGTCGTTTCGCTGCTTCTCGGCGAATTGCTCGTCGACTATTATGACCCGGTTAACCAGGCGAACGAATACCTCAACCTCGCGATCACTGCGACGTTTTTCGCCGGGATTTACCAGCTCGCGATGGGAATCTTCCGACTCGGGTTCATCATCGAATTTCTGAGCCACGCCGCGATTGTTGGGTTCATGTCCGGAGCCGCGATCACAATTGCTCTGCAGCAGCTGAAGGGGTTACCGGGTTACTCGAAATTCACCCAGGACACGGATATCGTCAGCGTGCTTTCGTATGTCTTCAAGAACACCAACCAGGTTAGTCCTCTCATCGACTTCTCATCCGTTATCCTTTCCCCATTTCTTTATCTCTTTCCACTCTCGTCGTTCTCGGAAATCGTATCCAAAATATCCCTACCTCGGCTATTCGGCTTTCCTCGGTGCTGCTGTATCCGCGGTTCGAATGTAAAAGCTTCCTCGTTGACTCGTCTCTGCTCCCCTTTTTCTTCCCTCCCACGCCGCCTACTTGCTGCTGCTATCCATCCCCCGTGCAGTTCAACTGGAAGGCCTTCGTCGTCGGCATGATGATCCGTTCCTGATTCTCTCTTCCCCTCCCGTCTTCCCCTTCCCCTTGCCATGCGCAGTTCAACTGGAAGGCCTTCGATGTCGGCATCAGCGTGCTCATCGTCCTCTTCATATGCATCATGCCCCGTTCCTGATTCTTTCTTCCTCCCCTCCTCCCCTTCCCCTTGCCATGCGCAGTTCAACTGGAAGGCCTTCGTCGTCGGCATGAGTGTGATCATCTTCCTCGTCACCCTTCGTTTCCTCGTAAGCTCGCTCACTCTCTCGCTTTCCTCTCGCTCGCTTTGTCCCTTGACTGTCGCTCGTGCGTCTTGCTGCTCCGCGCTTGCAGCTCGCTTTGTCGTTCTCGTCTATCCTTTATCCTTCGTCCTAAGATTCTACCCACTAATAACCGTCTCGAGCTTCTTCTACCTCATCCCCCAGTGTTCGAGGCCCGTTCCGTGATTGAAGAAGTGTTTTGAGACGTCTCAAAACTCGTCCTAAGATTCTACCCACTATTAGCCGTCTCCAGCTTCTTCTACCTCATCCCCCAGTTTTCGAGGCCCGTTCCTCTCATCCCTCTTGCACTCCCATTCATTCGTCTTCCCTGTTCCCCCCGTACCTGCCCCAATCTCCCCGTCTTCCCGTTTCCCCGTTTCTCCTTTCCTTCCAGGATCGTCTTCTTCTACCTCAACTGCCTGGGCCCGTTCATCTCAATCGTCCCGTCTTTCTCTATCCCCCATACCCATTCTGATCCCCCAGGCCTGGTACTTCGCCAAGAAGAAGCCGCTAGGAACCGTATTCTTCTACCTCAACTGCCTGGGCCCGTTCATCTCAATCGTCCCGTCTCAAGTTTCCCGTCTTTCTCTATCCCCCATACCCATTCTGATCCCCCAGGCCTGGTACTTCGCCAAGAAGAAGCCGCTAGGAACCGTATTCTTCTACCTCAACTGCCTGGGCCCGTTTATCTCAATCGTCCCGTCTCAAGTTTCCCGTCTTTCTCTATCCCCCATACCCATTCTGATCCCCCAGGCCTGATACTTCGCCAAGAAGAAGCCGCTCGGAACCGTATTCTTCTACCTCAACTGCCTGGGCCCGTTCATCGCTGTTGTCGTCGTCACGCTCTCCGTGTGGGCTGCCAAGGCCAACAAGGCCATCCCGTGCGTCAAGGAAATGCCCAAGGGACTATCCAGTCTCGGGTCGCTCAAGCGGCTGCAGCTCACGGGGCAAAACGCCGCGGATGCCGCGGTTGTGGGGCTGATCTCGGGACTCGTCGCTCTCACTGTAAGCCGTTTCGTTTCTGTTATCCCTATTTTCACAGCTTAATAATGTATTTTTAGTCAGACTTTTATTTATCGCGTTATGTTGAGCAGCGTAAGTTGCTGGAACATGGTGAGTCGGCGTTCAGCAGCTCTTCCGGAAGTGCGCGGGTGCGGCTCGAGCATGGACATGAGATATCTGTAGTTTCATTTCTTCACATAACGCGCACATGTATTGTCTGGACCATTCACTAAACCCTAAAAAATGTATCCTTATGTGTATCCTTTCGGCCGTTCCACTGCAGGAAGCGTCTGCCATCGCGCGTACCTTTGCGTCGCTGGAAGGATATCACGTGGATGGCAACAAGGAGGTATGGCGCAGTCAGGGCTTCTGGGGAATATGCGTGTCGAATGGAGTTAATCGCTGCGCGTGAGCAGAGGTTTTTTCTCTGATCTCTGAATGTTGCCTTGGAAAAAGACATTTTTCACTTTTATGGTGTCCAGCTGTTACTTCCGTCTAAATCGCACCCTTTTTGCCTTTTTTTTTTGTATCCGTGTTTGCCTAATATTTCAGATGATTGCCCTTGGTACAATGAACATCGTTGGCTCCTTCTCCTCTAGCTATGTCACTACTGGTACAGTCCCGTTTTTTTCTTTTCTTTTTTTTTATCCCATAATTCCATACTCTGATTTCAAGTGTTTGTACAATTTCTTCACATTCATTAGCTCTGGTCAAGCATTTCCGCATTCTTCATCTGCACTATCGATATCTAATTGCTCAGCTCCTTTCCCATCATCCTTTCTCCCTCTCTTACATTCCCCAGGTTCCTTCTCGCGATCGGCTGTTAACTACAACGCCGGTGGATCCACCATGCTTACAAACATTGTCATGTCTCTTGTCGTCCTCGTCACGCTGCTCTGGATCACTCCTGTCTTCCAGTACCTTCCAAGCGTAAGTAGCCAGCCAATGTCTGTGAACGGCAAAATCCGTGCTTAATTATGACCACATCTGTCTTGTTGTAATTTTCTTCCACCTGCTAATACTCTCCTGCTCCTTTACTTCCCTACACCCTCTGTGCACAACGTTGTCTTCTTCTGCTTGTTCGTTACAGGCCGTGCTTTCTGCCATCATTATTGTGTCTGTGCTGGGACTGGTAAGGCTTGTTGCAATCTCTTCTGTTCACGCATTTCCACGTGCGTCACTGTTTGTTATCCCGTCACCGATCATGGCTCCTTGTGCTGATTTATGGTACCCATTGACCGACAAGCTTGACTTCCTGATCCTTCTCGGAACCTTCCTTGGCATCCTTTTCGACTCAGTCGAAACCGGCCTCCTAGTCGGCGTGGTGATGGGGACTTTCAAGGTCATCATTCAGGTCACCAGGCCGCCGCTCTCCGTGCTCGGTCTTGTACAGGGTACGGGGGTGTACCGGAACATTAAGCAGTACGACGGTGCTATTGTCGAGGAAGGAGTGTACGTGCTGCGCGTGGATGGGCCGGTGTACTTCCCGAATGCAAACTACATCCGGGAGAAGTCGCTGAGTCTGATCGAGGAGCATGACTTCAACCGCGACGTCAAGATCACGGTGAGTTGCCAGCTTTCCACACCCTTCATTCTGCAGGTTGTTTTTCTATATTTTCCATAAACCGCTTCAGAAGGCGCTGAGCCTGATTGAGGAGCATGACTTAAACCGCGACGTCAAGATTACGGTGAGTTTGCCACCTTCCATACCTCGTACTCCCACTGCTGATTCTATACCTTGCTGATGGTTTCCCTCCTTGCTCTATCCTCCCCACATGCACTTCATCCTGGGCTTCATGCTGCTCAACACGAGCTTCTTGATTTTGATGTTTTCTCCCCCACCAGCACTGTCTTTTCTCCCCACCCAACACTCCTGTGCTGGACATTGACTCAGGGCACCACCGCATCGGGGGGCTTCCTGAAAGCTGCTGCTAACTGATTTTGATTCCTTTTTTTGCTATTCTTCGTTTCCCCCCACCAGCACTTCATCCTGGACTTCACCCCGGTGTGCCGGACATTGACTCTTCTGGCACCAATGCTCTGGGGGAGCTTCCTGCACACTGTTTCTAATTGCTGACTCTGATTCCTTTGTTATATTTCGTTTCCCCACACCAGCACTTCATCCTGGACTTCACCCCGGTGCCGGACATTGACTCATCGGGCACCACTTCACTGGAGGAGCTGCACTCGCTGCTCTCTAAGAACAACATTCAGCTCGGCATCAGCAACCCCTCCAAGATGGTTCTCCGCAAGCTTGCCGTGTCGGGCGTGCTGGAGGCTATTGGCGAGGAGTGGCTCTTCCTCACTGCCAATGAGGCTGTGAAGTCGTGCCGCTCGTTCCGCGCATCTGTTAAGGATGTGTAACTGTTTGGCCGTGGCATCTGTCAGTGCTTGCTTCTGGCATATGACTTATTCGCGTGTCCTGTAGCTTGGGACGGGCGAGTTATGGGGGTTAGGGAGTGCTGGTGGCTGCTGTAGGGAGGCCAAGGCAGTTGATGTATGCAACGTGGATAAATTGGAAAATAATGTATTTATGAAAACGTTTTTGGATTGGCGGTGTAGCACTAAAACTCGTGTTTTGCTTGGACGTGATTAAAGGTGGTCCCTGTGTCTGTCAGGTGTGATGCACAGACTGATTGACTGCGACCAACCAAGATTAGTGTTTCCTCGCGGATTGAACCGAGACGAGTGCTTCTCCGAGTTGCGGCCAACCAATGACGAAGGTGCCGGTTCACAGCAGGGACATGATAGGAAGTTGAAATGCCGCCGACGAGCTTTTCCGGACAGGTTGGAGCACACGTGTCGGTCGATAATTCCCTGCCAGCACCTTTGGAGATCATCCGTGCCACGTTACCCAGATTGCGGCGGACGAGCCAAAAAGGGAAGTCGAACGCTTGCGGCAGATGAAGTCGTGGACTGCGTTTGAACCATCAACTACCTAACAACCACACGTTTGCGCAGAGATCCACGAGCGTCATCGTCCTCTTTTCTATCTCAAAATACCCAATCGATTTGACAATCTGTAGCGTGATTCAGAATTTATACTATGACGTGCAGGACCTGAATATCGCGAGGAAAACTCTCTACGTTCGGAACTTTATTTCTGAATCAATAAGGGTGAGTACGCTTGGAGGGAACGACAACCCTACCCAAATGCATTCACACCACACCGTGCTCGAGGGAATCTTGTGCGTGGCTTCCATGTGCCACATGTCTCTTTCTCACACGACACCTTTTCCAGCACACACTGGAAAGTGAAACCACGAGGTTGGCGGCGGCGCGAAAAGGATGAGAGCTGCCTGCGAAGTGAAGTTGTGCTGCGTACAGCTCAGTGGAGTGCTGTACACCTGTTTGATCAGATCAACCAAAACCCTTGGGAGGTCTGTCGCCTTGACATTGGTTGAACGGAACGGACAAATTGAAACCGAACGGGATGCGTGTGAAACAAACGCAATGGCTTTCCGCGCACGCACCAGCCGCACGGCACCGAACGGAGGCGTCGAGTATGGATTTCGTTGGGTGTGACATGACATAACATCCCCATAAGGATCTACCTGCGGGTCGCGTACAAATTCTTCTGTAGGCGTACAAGAACACTTCCTTCACTCACACAACCCTCCCACCGATCAATCAAGCCGCCCTGTCCCGAGCCCAAGTTCCCCCCAACCTCCCCAGCCGTTTCATTTATCTGCCCATCCCCCCTCCTCTCCTCTTCCCTCTCGTCTTCTCCTCACCTCCCTTACCCCTCTCCTCTCGCCTCTGCGTTCTTCCTAAGGGCGGGTCCAGTGCGTTCGTCATTTGTTCGTTCTGTGCGGTTACTCTTGTTGCGATACGGTGAAAAACGGTGAAGCAGAATAACCCGTGCGCACCGTCTGGAATCGTCATGCACCACGACGGATGAACCGACAACGAACGCGCTGGACCCGCCCTACTACAAACAAGCAAACCCCTTCCCTCCCATCTCATTCTTGCAGTCTGCTGGAAATGTCTAGTGGATTCTCAAATATGATCATTTATCTCAGTTGAGACCATTATTGCCCGCCACACAGCTTACAACCCCTCCGTCTTCGTGACGAACTCTACTCGGAACTTTGAGACTCCAGTCAGCCATACTTAGAGCGAGTCAGATCACCATGCGCAGATAGCACGACTCAACTCAAAGGCCTGGGCCGATCTCTGGCTCTGCAAATGAGTCTCGATCAGCCTTGTAGCTCGAATTAGTCTGCCGTATTCTTCTGAATACGCTTGCTATAAAAAAAATACACCTTGTTTTTCTCGCGTCTTCTCTCCCTTTTTTCCTTCTGCATTCGATGTGACAAGTTGTCAGCCAGCTTACACGTCTCCGGAATTACCACCGCTAACCCAAGTCTTCTTTCCATTTATTTTCCCTCACGAATAGAGGAACGAGTGCGACCCCTCTCATATTTTGTTAACAAAGCCGCAATTTTTTTACGTCTCCATATCTAAAGCCGAACAGCATAATCAAGTGTTTTCAATGGCGGAACTCCTACACCACCCAGTCACGTGCATCAACTGCGCCAACCTAGCAGCATCAACTCCTCGTTCGTTCTCCAGTAGCAGGCCGCATGAACTGCCATCCAGGCATCAGGCAGTGAATTGCGGCTGTTTTCCCACGAAGGCATCCATGTTGCAAACGCCAGCCTGCTCATCCCGCCGCGACATGGATCTGATTTCCCACTCCACGTTCCTGTCATCCTTAATACTCCAACCCGTGTCCCCGTCACATTCAATCCCATCCTTTCCCGTTCCCAAACCACTTCTCGAAGCAACAACACAGCACGCGACCATGCGGGGCCGAGTTACAATGCCGCACAAGCCGACGACTCCCGCCGCATCTGCCGCCGGATCTGCCGGCGCATCAACCGGTGCCGCTTCTTCATCTTCCCCGGCAGCGCCTGCTGTCGCAGCAAGTACCGCGTCCGGTGGTGGGCCAAACGTAACGGCGGGAGCCGTCGCGACAGGGAGCCGCAGCGCCACGTTACGAACGACGACACCGAACCGTACCACCTCCTCCCCCTCCTCCTCCTCGTCGCCCACGATCGCGTTTCCGAATCTCCAGTCGCCCTACTTCCCATTTGAGGACGCGGATTTCTTGGAAGCTTTTGAAAGCGCCGCGTCGCGGCATATCGAAACGCGTGACGAGGCGCCTCGACAACCGTCGATTGACGAGCGAGCCTCCGCACTTCGCGGCGGATTGTCGAAGCCGAGCGATTCGGAAGAAGCGGCGGCGGGGAGCTACGATCTGTCGGTTGCCGAACGGGCGGTTCAACTCTCGTGTCGTCTCACGAAGAAGGTTCAGGCGCAGCTGCGGCGCGAAGCGGAAGATGTAACGCGGTCCAAGCCGGATAAGTCGTACGTTACTGTAGCAGACTGGGGCGTTCAGGCGGTTGTCAGCTGGGTCCTGAAGCAGGCTTATCCGGGGGAGGTGGTATCTATGATAGCGGAGGAAGATACGAAGCAGCTGACGAATGACGCGGGAAGCACGCTCCTCGCGCGGCTTGTTGGCGTAGTTAACGAGTGCCTTGCCGAGGCGCGCCTGGTCGGTATTGAGCCGCCGGAGCGCCCGCTAGAGGCACCTGAGGTGCTGGAGTTAATTAATCGCGGTTCGTCAGAAGGCGGCGCGGTCGGGCGGCACTGGATATTAGATCCTGTAGACGGCACGCTTGGATTCGTTCGGGACGATCAATATGCAGTCGCACTGGCGTTGCTAGATTCGGGCAGCTTGAAACTGGGCGTCTTAGGCTGCCCAAATCTTCCGGTCAGGCCGGAATGGCTGCGGCATCCGCACCGCTTTTACCGGATCACATCGAAACTTTTCCCGTCCTGCGATTGGCGGGAGGGAGTGGTGCTGAAAGCGCTCCGGGGTCATGGCGCCTTCGTCGAGCCGCTCGTAGGAGGCGATCCCGCAGCAGTAGCCGCTGCGGACGTTCCCCGAACGGAGTGCGGGAGCAGCAGGATTAGCAGTAGCAGCGGCGGCAGCAACGGTGGCAGTAGTCGCCGTGTGAAGCTGGATCCGAGTTGGAGCGCAACGAGCACTTCCGACTGCCACGTGTCCGACGTGTGCGAGCCGTGCTGCGCGACGTTCTGCGAGCCGGTTGAGAAGGCGAACTCGAACCAAACGTTCACGGCAGGCCTGGCGGACCTCCTCGGAATCAGGTACGGTAACATGCCATGTGCCTTGGTATGGTAACAACCCATGCGCCTTGGGTAACACCCAGTCGTGAACTGCGGTTTAGATGTGAGGAGAAAAGGTGACAGGTGGACAAGGTTTCCCCCGAACCAGACGTTCGCGGCAGGCCCGGTGGGCCTCCTGGGTATCAACCTGATTAATCGGGTGCTGGGAAACCTGGGTATGTGGTAGAATTGCTCCTCTCCGTGTCTACAGCATTGTGCAATTGACCATCCCTACTCTTTCTCTTCTCAGCTGGTTTTCTTCTGCTCTTTTCCCAATCCGCCCTATGCGCCCTCTTGTGCCTTCCAGCAACGCTCCTCTCTGTGTGTAGGGCATGTCAAGTACGCTGCTATAGCCTCATCCCTGACAACCGCTTGGTCCCTTTCTCTGCCCGCCCCTGTACAACCCCTTCTGCTTGCAGTAACGCTCCTCCGCGTGTACAGCATGGCAAAGTACGCTGCTATCGCCCCTACATATTTTTCTTTGTACTCCCGCCCTCCCCCATACTCCCCCTGTTACCCCTTCCAGTAACGCTCCTCTCCGCGTGTACAGCATGGCAAAGTACGCTGCTATCGCCCGCGGCGATGCCGACATATTTATGAAATTCGCACGTAACGGTTACCAGGAGAAGGTCTGGGACCACGCTGCAGGGGTGGTGATTGTGGAGGAGGCGGGCGGCGTGGTAACGGATGCGGGCGGCAAGCCCTTGGATTTCACTAGAGGCCGTTTTTTAAGCTCGCTCGACAGAGGGATCGTGGCGTCGAGCAGCTTGGAACTGCACCAGCAGTTGCTGACGGCCATTGATGCAAGTGAGTCACTGTTCACACATGGTCTTAGTCACTATGCATGGTCTCCTCTCGTATCCCATTTTATTTTTGAGTCAGCTCAAAAAGCTGCACCAGCAGCTGCTGACGGCCATTGATGCAAGTGAGTAGCTGCTGACACATGGTCTGACTCACATGCACATGGTCTTCTTTCACACACATTGTATCCCATACCCCACATGACATAGTGGCGTCGAGCAGAGCTGCACTAGCAGTTGCTGACGGCGTGAGTCGCTGCTGACACAGATGCGATTCTTCTTTATTCTTGACCTTTTATATCTCCCAGTAGTCCTGTTGTTTCCACGCTCACTCATTAAATCCCTCCTCTCTTCCTCCCTTCCCTCAGGCTGGCGAGTGTACCACGGAGGGGAATTTACCCCACAAGACACCAACACCCTGCTGATGCTCCAGCAGCAGGATCTTATGCAGGTGGATGTGCCATGTGGGAACTCCGCAAGGCCTTTTGAGGGTCCCAACCAAGAGCTGCTGTGGCTCCGTCGGCAGAAGCTGTTTCCGTTGCCTGCTGCTGCTTGCGCCTTGCCTGGTCAGAATGGCCGTGAGGGCTTGCATGAGGGGCACGCTCAACAGGAGGGCAACAATGCTGATTTGGGATGCTGTTAGGGAAATGGGAAGGATGAAATGCACACCATTGATCTGGTAGGTTAGCTGTACGAATAGCCTAAATGCTATATGTGCATAGTCAATTTATGTTTATTTTAAAACATGCAAGGTTGTCAACTCTGGAACTCCAGTTCGTTTTGTCCGAATCAAGTGTACTGTAGCCGTTTCTTTACGAATTAACTGCTACTACCGAGGTTACACACGCGTCTCAACCCTCCCTGACCTCTGATACAGGCGTGTCAGGCGCATTTGGAGACGCGCCTAGGCAACGCGCCGACAGATTCGTTGGTGGGGAGGGTATCAAGGCCTGTTTGTATCCCTTGGTTCAACCCGAGCTCATGCCATGTTTTAGTAGACTACGCATTTGGGTGCACAGCACACAAACCCAAACAGCGGATGCACACGTAGCAACGGGACTCCGGTCCGAACCCGCCAATTTGCACACGACCTTCCTCTTGTTCCCCGTTGACTTTGGTACCCTGCTGTCGCTGCCGGGTGGCATGTCACACTGGGTCAGAGGAGATGGCACAGGTACGGGTCAGAGCAGAATGCAGGAGCATCACAAACAAGGCATAGGACGGTCATACACCTGTTCTCCGATATCTTCACGGGGTGACATTCCCGAGTCGCGAAAACGATTGCCTGAGAGGGCGTGAAAATAGACAGAGCAATAAAGTCCCTCTTAATTTCACACTCGAGCCGCAAAGTCTGCTGCTGACATGGACAAAAAGTGCATAAACGATCTCAGGAATTTTTTCCAGCCATTGCGAAATGACCACGTCAGGATTGCGCGGGGTCGGAACCCACCCGATAAAAAATCAATGACCCGACTATTTTTGTTTCTGAGGAGTTTGTGTCAGCCGTTAAAGCGTTGCATTAAGCTTGTTACATGACGTAACTGAACTTCTGGGCTTTCGTTGAGGTGACACGAAGGCGAAATCCCGCAATCCGAATCCCCTTGCAAACACCAGAAGCTCAAGCGTCCAAGTCACCCCCTCCAGTATAAATTGCGTCATTTCTGTGTGGGGGGGGTCTAGATGTTCAACCACACTTTGGCAGCTCGGCTCCCAACAAAGTTGGGCTGAGGACCCCGAAGTGACACCGAAGCGCGGTGTGAAATTAAGGGTAGTGAAGATATCGGAGAACAGGTTGTATTCTGTCCAGCACCGATTCTTTTCACAGAAGGCCATTCTTTCTTTCCAGGCTAGCATCTTTTCAGAGAGAGCCATTTTTTTTTTGTTTCCGAGCTAGCATTCTTCACAAAAGGCCATTCGTTCTTGCCTCATATGCTGCTGGTTCAGATAAAGCGGTCCTTTTGACTGCTGCTTTAGACAGAACAGTTACTGGCGAAAAGTTTGCAGCGCTCTCCACGGCTTTGCGGACGTGTTAAACGTGTTGCTCTTATTCCATGCGCTAGTTTTTAGCGGTTAACGCACACGCGTGAGAGATTAATTTATTCGGTGTCTGTCGTTAAGCCAACGTGTTAGCGGTATGGGAGAATTACAATGGACTCGTGTTTTCGACCTTAAAAAAGCTATGATTCTGACGCTTGTCGCGCTCTTCTTGGCTTGTCTCACGACCCATGCTGTTGGCCAATCACAAGCAAGCAGTTTGAACTCCACTGGCACGTCAGCAGATTTGGGATTCAGGAATAACGACACGCAGACGGTCGATCCGTCACTTGACGGATCGGATTACGCTAACGGAAACTCGACGGATTATTTTGACAGCGGGGAAGAACCGACGGACGATTTTTCCGACGTAAGCGGAACGGACCCCGACGATTGGCTGAAGCGGGAATGGTTGAACCAGGACGGAAATTTCACGGGCGATGACGGCTCGGGGCCATGGGGATCGTTGCCGGATTACGCGGAAATGGATGGCGGCAACAACTCTGATTGGTTGGGGCCTGGAGATGACGAGTTTTACGAGGAGCAAGCGAATATGTCGGATGAGGAGCTGGATACGCTGCTGACGCCGGTCGCTGCATGTCAGCCGTCTAAGTTGCCGGGATACAACAACTCCGTCGACCTTAACGGCAAGGGGTGCGCACTAGAGCTATTGAATAGTATGAAAAGATTCTCTTTCTTCGGCACATATTCCTTTCTCTCCATCGGTTTTTGCGGCTGTCGTGGATAACGCATCTGTGCGTACCGCTTCCCTTAGCCTCCTCCCTTCTCCTCCTCCCTTCTCCTCCTCCCTTCCCCTCCTCCCGCTCCCCCACTCCCCCCTGCTTCCCCCAGTCTCCTCCTGCATTGGATGCACGTCTCCCCGCAGCTGATGCAAATGGCAGTGGAGGCCAGGCCGGGCAGCGGGGCAGACACACCAGACTATACGGCACAATCAGTCTTCTTTCCTCTATTTCCTCTCCCTCCTCCCCAACACATCTCCCACGTCTCCCCCCCTCAGCCTCCTCCTGCATTGGATGCACGTCTCCCCGCAGCTGATGCAAATGGCAGTGGAGGCAAGACGGGAAGCGAAGCCGCAGCAGCAGCAGCAGGGTGGATCTCCGTGGGGTGTTCTCTGGAAGGGCATATGGTGCCTGCATAGCAGTCGGAGCAGAGTATAAGGCACAACCTCTCTTCTTTCCTCTCTTTCCTCTCTTTCCTCTCCCTCCCCTCCACATCCCCCCCATCCCCCCCTCAGCCTCCTCCTGCATTGGATGCACGTCTCCCCTCAACTAATGCAAATGGCCGTGGTGGCGAAGCCGGGAAGCGAAGCCGCAGCAGCAGGGTGGATCTCCGTGGGATGGTCCCTGGAAGGGCACATGGTCCCTGCTGACGCTATTATCGGGGGTGCTGCAGTACCCCCTTCGGCCCCGCAGGGTGATTTACCCTTGGTGGCTCCGCCGGGTGGTTTACCCGCGGAAACGGTTCTGCCGTTTTACATCACGGGGTACGGGATGGATGGTCTGGAGCGGACGAACGGGCTGAACTACAACGAGAGGGAGTGGAACTGGACCAGGAGCAAGGATGGAGGCGTGATTATGAGGTGAGTCAGGGTGGGTGGGACGAATGGTCCGTTGAGCCATGTATATTTATTTGGTGTTGGTCTTAGAGTGGGTGTATTCTGAGTCTGCTCTGAAAGCGGACAAACGGGCTGAACTTCAACGAGAGGGAGTGGACCTGGACGAGGAGCAAGGATGGAGGCGTGATTATGAGGTGAGCCGTGGTTCTCTGGGTGGGTGGTTGTGTGGGTGTTGCCGTTTTGACAGTCTGAAACGGACAAACGGACGGTTGAAAGGGCGGAACTTCAACGAGAGGGAATGGAACTGGACGAGGGGCAAGGATGGAGGCGTGATTATGAGGTGAGATGTGGGTGGGTTGGAGAGAAAGGAGTTAGTTTCAAAGCAGAACGGTCTGAATCAGAACGAGAGGGCGTGGAACTGGACGAGGAGCAAGGATGGAGGCGTGATTATGCGGTGAGCTGTGGTTCTTTGGGTGTGTGGTTGTGTGGGTGTTGCCGTTTTGACAGTCTGAAGCGGACAAACGGACGGTTGAACGGGCTGAACTGCAACGAGAGGGAGTGGAATTGGACGAGGAGCACAGATGGAGGCGTGATTATGAGGTGAGATGTGGGTGGGTAGGAGAGAAAGGAGTTAGTTTCAAAGCAGAACGGTCTGAACCAGCACGAGAGGGCGTGGAACTGGACGAGGAGCAAGGATGGATGGAGGCGTGATTATGAGGTTGAGCTGGGGTAAGGCCGTGTGGGTGGGGTGGGGTGTGCCATGGTAACGAGGTGACTTTTGAGTCGACTCAAAAGTCACCTCATTATGAGGCTGAGACGGGATGTAGCCGCCGTGTGGGTGGGTAGGCCTGCCTGCTGCCCTTCCCCCATTCCTTCTCCTTCCTGTTAATTCCTCATTCTCCTCGTTTTCCCTTTTCACCTCCCAGGTTCACCCGCAGTGCAGAGCTAGACGGATTCATGCCCGTCCAACCTCTGGCCGTGAACCATGTGATCCGGCCCTGCGCTCCTGTCCCCACCCCTTCTCGTTACCTTTCCTTCCCCTTTTTCCTCGCTCCCAGGTTCACCCGCAGCGCAGAGCTAGACGGATTCATGCCCGTGCAACCTCTGGCCGTGAACCACGTGATCCGGCCCTGCGCTCATTCTTCCCCTCTCCTACCCTCATTCCCTCCTCCCCCCCCCTTCAGGTTCACCCGCAGTGCAGAGCTGGATGGATTCATGCCCGTGCAGCCAATGGCCGTCAACCACATGATCTGGGCCTCCGTTGCTCATCCCCCTTCTCCGCTCTCCTTACCCTGTTCTCTCCCATCCCAGGTTCACCCGCAGTGCAGAGCTGGACGGATTCATGCCCGTGCAGCCGCTGGCCGTCAACCACATGATCTGGGCCCTCGCTCATCCCTCCCCTCTTCTTTCCCCGTACTCTCCCCTCTCCTACCCTCGTTCCCTCCCCTTCTCAGGTTCACCCGCAGCGCGGAGCTAGACGGATTCATGCCCGTGCAGCCTCTGGCCGTCAACCACATGATCTGGGCCTTTGCCCCCAACGCATCGCGACAGCTGGCGTACCACGGGCGCCACAAGTGAGTGCCTTGCCTTTTTAGCTTCCAAAGCCCAAGCCCAACTCCTTTCCCCAGTCCCCGTTCTCTCCAAACGCACCGCGCAACCTTGCAAACCACGGGCGCCACAAGTGAGTGCCTTGCCTTTTGTAGCTTCCAAAGCCCAAGCCCAACTCCTTTCCCCAGTCCCCGTTCTCTCCAAACGCACCGCGCCACCTTGCAAACCACGGGCGCCACAAGTGAGTGCCTTGCCTTTTGTAGCTTCCAAAGCCCAAGCCCAACTCCTTTCCCCAGTCCCCGTTCTCTCCAAACGCACCGCGCCACCTTGCAAACCACGGGCGCCACAAGTGAGTGCCTTGCCTTTTGTAGCTTCCAAAGCCCAAGCCCAACTCCTTTCCCCAGTCCCCGTTCTCTCCAAACGCACCGCGCCACCTTGCAAACCACGGGCGCCACAAGTGAGTGCCTTGCCTTTTGTAGCTTCCAAAGCCCAAGCCCAACTCCTTTCCCCAGTCCCCGTTCTCTCCAAACGCACCGCGCCACCTTGCAAACCACGGGCGCCACAAGTGAGTGCCTTGCCTTTTGTAGCTTCCAAAGCCCAAGCCCAACTCCTTTCCCCAGTCCCCGTTCTCTCCAAACGCACCGCGCCACCTTGCAAACCACGGGCGCCACAAGTGAGTGCCTTGCCTTTTGTAGCTTCCAAAGCCCAAGCCCAACTCCTTTCCCCAGTCCCCGTTCTCTCCAAACGCACCGCGCCACCTTGCAAACCACGGGCGCCACAAGTGAGTGCCTTGCCTTTTGTAGCTTCCAAAGCCCAAGCCCAACTCCTTTCCCCAGTCCCCGTTCTCTCCAAACGCACCGCGCCACCTTGCAAACCACGGGCGCCACAAGTGAGTGCCTTGCCTTTTGTAGCTTCCAAAGCCCAAGCCCAACTCCTTTCCCCAGTCCCCGTTCTCTCCAAACGCACCGCGCCACCTTGCAAACCACGGGCGCCACAAGTGAGTGCCTTGCCTTTTGTAGCTTCCAAAGCCCAAGCCCAACTCCTTTCCCCAGTCCCCGTTCTCTCCAAACGCACCGCGCCACCTTGCAAACCACGGGCGCCACAAGTGAGTGCCTTGCCTTTTGTAGCTTCCAAAGCCCAAGCCCAACTCCTTTCCCCAGTCCCCGTTCTCTCCAAACGCACCGCGCCACCTTGCAAACCACGGGCGCCACAAGTGAGTGCCTTGCCTTTTGTAGCTTCCAAAGCCCAAGCCCAACTCCTTTCCCCAGTCCCCGTTCTCTCCAAACGCACCGCGCCACCTTGCAAACCACGGGCGCCACAAGTGAGTGCCTTGCCTTTTGTAGCTTCCAAAGCCCAAGCCCAACTCCTTTCCCCAGTCCCCGTTCTCTCCAAACGCACCGCGCCACCTTGCAAACCACGGGCGCCACAAGTGAGTGCCTTGCCTTTTGTAGCTTCCAAAGCCCAAGCCCAACTCCTTTCCCCAGTCCCCGTTCTCTCCAAACGCACCGCGCCACCTTGCAAACCACGGGCGCCACAAGTGAGTGCCTTGCCTTTTGTAGCTTCCAAAGCCCAAGCCCAACTCCTTTCCCCAGTCCCCGTTCTCTCCAAACGCACCGCGCCACCTTGCAAACCACGGGCGCCACAAGTGAGTGCCTTGCCTTTTGTAGCTTCCAAAGCCCAAGCCCAACTCCTTTCCCCAGTCCCCGTTCTCTCCAAACGCACCGCGCCACCTTGCAAACCACGGGCGCCACAAGTGAGTGCCTTGCCTTTTGTAGCTTCCAAAGCCCAAGCCCAACTCCTTTCCCCAGTCCCCGTTCTCTCCAAACGCACCGCGCCACCTTGCAAACCACGGGCGCCACAAGTGAGTGCCTTGCCTTTTGTAGCTTCCAAAGCCCAAGCCCAACTCCTTTCCCCAGTCCCCGTTCTCTCCAAACGCACCGCGCCACCTTGCAAACCACGGGCGCCACAAGTGAGTGCCTTGCCTTTTGTAGCTTCCAAAGCCCAAGCCCAACTCCTTTCCCCAGTCCCCGTTCTCTCCAAACGCACCGCGCCACCTTGCAAACCACGGGCTCCACAAGTGAGTGCCTTGCCTTTTGTAGCTTCCAAAGCCCAAGCCCAACTCCTTTCCCCAGTCCCCGTTCTCTCCAAACGCACCGCTCCACCTTGCAAACCACGGGCGCCACAAGTGAGTGCCTTGCCTTTTGTAGCTTCCAAAGCCCAAGCCCAACTCCTTTCCCCAGTCCCCGTTCTCTCCAAACGCACCGCGCCACCTTGCAAACCACGGGCGCCACAAGTGAGTGCCTTGCCTTTTGTAGCTTCCAAAGCCCAAGCCCAACTCCTTTCCCCAGTCCCCGTTCTCTCCAAACGCACCGCGCCACCTTGCAAACCACGGGCGCCACAAGTGAGTGCCTTGCTTTTTGTAGCTTCCAAAGCCCAAGCCCAACTCCTTTCCCCAGTCCCCGTTCTCTCCAAACGCACCGCGCCACCTTGCAAACCACGGGCGCCACAAGTGAGTGCCTTGCGTAAAACTCAAACTCATTGCGTAAAACTCCCTTGCGTAAAACTCTTTGCGTAAAACTCATTGCGTAAAACCTGCGAACTAGGCGACACCAAGGGCCTTTCCTTCCATCTCTTCTCCCTTTCCTCCCCCCTTTCCTTTCCCCTTATCTCTCTCTCTTTTCTTCTATCTGTTATTTTTCCCTTTTTTTCAAACTTTTTCCCAGTTTCCCCCTTTTCTCTTTTCCTTGGTTTCGCCTCTTTTCTTCGACCTGTTCTTTTTCCCCCTTTTTTCTAACTTTCTCCCAGTTTCTAACTTTCTCCCAGTTCGGCAAGATGGCCGGCAGCGCGGCAGCCATTGGGAACGTGCCACGTGGCACCATAAAGACCGGGGCGGCAGTGGGGCCGTACGCAATGACGGGGTATAACAAGGCTGACGTGGCACCCAGCGGGCAATTTGAATTGATCAACGATGCGGTTGGGACATCGTCAAACGGAAGAACTGTGATGAGGTGAGCGGTGGTTCAGTGCAGTGAAGGTGGGTCAGGTGAGGTGGGGTAGGGTGAGGTCGTGGCACCCAGCGGGCAGTTCGAATTGATCAACGACGCCGTTGGGTGGGGTGGGTGGGATGGGTTGAGGAGTGGTGCAGGTGGGTAAGGTGGGTTGGGGTGTGGTTCTTGACCTACCCTGTCTCCTACCCGGTCAGATGCCCGTCAGTAGCAACGTCTCACTGCAATCAATCCATCCATCCTGCCTCCATCCATCCTTCCTCCATCCATCCTTCCTCCATCCATCATTCGCAATGGCCCTCTCTTTCCTTGCTTCAGGTTCGAGCGTGACCTCCTGTCCGGCTAGATGCCATTCAGTAGCAACTTGAAGGCCACCATCCTCTGGGCCTACTCTCATTTTGATTCAAACAAGAGTCGTCCTCCCTTCCAACTCCCCTCCCTTTTCTTCCTCCAGGTTCGAGCGAGGTCTGCTGCCCGGCCAGATGCCATTCAGTAGCAACTTGAAGGCCGTCATCCTCTGGGCCTACTCTCGAGACAACACACAGGAGCTGGCGTTCCACGGAGACAACATGTGAGTGCAGGAGGGTGAGAGGGGTGGGGGGGTGTGGTGCTTGTGTGTGCACCTGATTCACTCGAGGTGGCCATCATCCTCTGGGCCTACTCTCAAGACAACTCGCAGGAGCTTGCCTTTCATGGAGACAACATGTGAGTGCGGGAGGGTGAGAGGGCTTGGGGGGTTGTGGTAGCCTGTGTGTGCACCTGGTTCAGTGGCAATTTGAAGGCCACCATCCTGTGGGCCTTATTTCGAGATAGCTCTCAGGAGCTGGCCTTCCACGGGGACAACATGTGAGTGCGGGAGGGTGAGACGGCGAGGGGGGGTGGAGCCACGTGTGACCCACACAGCATAATGACCTTGGGCGCCTCTGAAGTGGCCACCATCCTGTGGGCCTACTCTCGAGACAACTCCCAGGAGCTCGCCTTCCATGGAGACAACATGTGAGTGGGGGAGAGTGAGGGGGGTAGGGGGTTGTAACATGTGAGCTTGTTTTGTTTGTTTTCTTGAGTTTTTTGTTTGTTCTCTTTAGTTTCTTGTTTAACTGCTTTGTTTGTTCCCCTGAGTTTTTTGTTTGTTTGTCTGTTTTGTTTGTTTTGGTTGATTGAGTGTTTGTTTGTTTGTTTTTGGCATGGTTTTGGTTTCCAGTCATTTTGCTGTGTGGAGCTGCTTGGTACTTATCCCACTTGCTGTCTTCTCTTCTCTTCTCTTCTCTACTCTTTTCTTGTCTTCTCTTCTCCTCTTGTCCTCCACACACAGGGGATCAGTAACAATCGACTTCTCCTCTGGAAAATCCTCCCCCTCCTCTTCGCCTGCTCTCATCGCCCATGCGGTCTTCCTCTCCCTCGCCTTCTTCCTCCTCATGCCCTCCGCAATCCTCATCGCCCGCCTCTTCCTCGCAACCCCCTCCTCTCTCTCCCCCACCCCACTCCATCTCTCAGACGCCAACAGCACAGAATCCCATCCCTCCTCCTCCTCTTCTTCCTCCACCATGTTCCCCTCCTCCTCTTCCTCTTCCCATGCCGATGACTCGACGTCAAATGACTCGCGTAGAGTGTTCTGGTTCACATGGCACATGTATCTGCAAGTGGCCGCGCTAGTCTGCATCTGCGTCGGGTGCATCACGGCGTTTGTCTCATCTGGGTCTCAAGGGTTCCATTATGCCCACGCCTGGATCGGTGTTTTCCTCCTCGTTCTCCTCGTGGCCATTCAACCTCTTGTTGTCTTCTTCCGCCCATCCTCTCGCCCGTCTTCGTCCGATTCGTCGGACTCTGCTGGCCGGTGGCATTACGCCAGCTGGACGCGTGGGAGGTGGCGAGTGGTGCATTGGTTGGTGGGCGTGGTGGGAGTGGTGTTTGGTTGGTTCAACTGTTTCCTCGGGCTCACTCTCTACAGTAAAAAGTTCGCCGCTGGAGTCGTGGTAAGTTTCCTATATTTCTTAGGGCACAACTAGTTTCGTGATGCCACCAAATGTTACATACATGCTCGACAATGAGTGCACTCACCATCACTTTATCTTGTTCCACCCCATTGTGCCTCGTGTTGATGTGTCACAGGGAGGATATGCCGTGTTCGGTATTCTTGTTATCATCATCGGCTTTATTTATGGTGCTCTTATCGTGCGAGATGTCAAGAGGAAGAAAGCTGCTAATGCCGCTGCTGCAGAGTCCACTGGGTTTCAGATGCAGTCCAGGGCAGTTCCGTAGTGGAGTCTCTTGTACCTAATAACATGTGGCGCCGTTTTGTTTTATGCTCACTTATAGTTCTATGTTTCCTTGATGGTTGGTCATATGATGTGATGGTGTAGTTAACCGTCTTCAAGAGGATGTTGCCTGTGTGTTTGCCTTAGCGAGTATTGAGTGTACTGTGTTTTGCTTTTGCATATACATGATTTAGATCCTTTTGCCCTGTCAGTGATTCATTGCTGCTCGGGTTGCTGCTTGGGGCAACGAATGACTCCAAAGATTGGCGCAACAGTCGTGCAAGCCCATCTGGTCGGTGGAAGCTAGTGGTATCATTCATCCGAGCGACGCCTAGCGAATCAGTCTGCGACAGTTTCTGTCGCTCTACGGCTGGTTCTCCCTGATGCGATCGCGAATCGCGACAGTATGGGCGATCCGAGAATTACCATTCCCCGCGCGTGGGTCACAATGTGCGGCTCGGAGACTTTGGTCGAATTTCAGTTGTCCAGCCAACTTTCAATTTCTGTGAAAGGCGCATGAGAAAATGAAATTCCTACTCCCCGAAACCCCTTGAAATGCGGTACAACCTAAATAAACCTTTGAAACAAATAAAGGACCGTACTGGAACGCTTTTTGTGCTATCCCGTGTGGTGCAGGGCGAGATTTTCTGAGCAGAGTCTTCCCTCCTTCCCACAATGAAACTCAGTTGTGCCTGTACTGGTAATCATCACTCTTAGTGCTGTGCTGTGTAGTAGATGCCGCCGCTCCAACGTTATATCCAATAGCTGGTACGTAACATCACACATATCTTCTAGTGTTGAAGTCAGAGTCGCGATTGGCTTGTGTATCGGTTTCATAGTTCTAGTGGTCGCAGTCTTTCCCCCCACCTCTTTCCCCAGAAGAGTCTCGAGTCTCGACTAGTGCTTGTAGCGCATCCTTGATAATGGCGTCCTCACGCGTTTCGATACTGCTGATTGCGCTACCACTTATCCTCCTGCTTCTGCTAGCGGGATCGGCGGAAGGCGCCGGCTTCACGGATAAGATCTCGAAGGGAGTTCGCGATTTCTTCGGTCAGATCTCGAAAATGTGGAGCTCCGGTGGCGGCACGTCCGAGGGGTATGCGTCCGTCTGCCAGAATTCAACGCTTCCCGGCTACACGTCGTCTTTCCAGCTATCTGACGGGTAAGAGTAGGATACGATTTTCAGAAACACACCAGGTGCACCTGGTGTGGAGATTCAGCGAATGCCGCGTCTAGGCGTACGCGCTTTCAAATGTGCCGTGTCCGGTCGTTCCGGCTTCCCTATTGTCCTTCACTGGGTTGGAAATTTACCCGCACTCGGCTTAAAAAACGGATCCTACGTGATAAAAGTTGGGTTTTCAGATGTCTAACCCAGACGTTATCACGTGGCTATTGTCCTTCACTGGGTGAGAACTTTACCCGCACTCGGCTTAAAACTGAATCCTTCCTTTTCCATCCCCCTTCTCTCCCACATTCCCCGCCCTTCCCCCTCCCGGCCCTCATCACCCTTCTCCCACCTCCCCTCAGCCCAACCATCCACTCAATCACCGCAAAAAAAAAAAAAATCGGTGCTTTGAGAACTGAATTCTTCTTGTTGCCCCCCGCTACCCCATCACCCCCCCACCTTCCCCTCCCCATCCACCCTCCACCCCCTCCCAGCCTCAACACCCACTGTATCCCCGCCAAAAGCACGTCGGAGCTTCGAATCGCCGCCGTCAAAAGTCACCTGTTGCCCTTCCCCCTCTTCCCTCCTCTCCCTCCCACCCTGCAGAATCACCGTCCACCCCCTCCCAGCCTCAGCATCCACTGTATCCCCGCCAAAAACACGTCGGAGCTTACAAAACTGATTTGCAGCCCCTATCCCTTCACCCCCCCTTCCCCTTCCCCTTCCCCTTCCCCTTCCCCTTCCCCTTCCCCTTCCCCTTCCGCACCACCCTCCCACCCCACCCCACCCACCCCCAGCCTCACAATTCATTGGATCCCCGCCAAAAACACGTCAGAGCTTCAAATCGCCGTCGAAGCGCGGCGACTCCCCGTCGCAGACTCCTCGTCGTCGTCGTCACAGGCGAATCAGACGGCGACGTCGCAGGCGCTACCCGGGAAGGGCTAATTCGCCGTGGGATGTTCGCAGAGCGGCGCGATGTATCCCGGTGACGCGGTGGTGGGAAATCAGCCGCGCGCTTTTGAAAAATCTAAATTGGCATCTGTTGCCCCCCTCGTTGCCCCTCCCCTCTTCCCGCCTCTCCCTCCCTCCCAGCCTCACCATTTATTGGATTCCCGCCAAAAACACGTCGGAGCTTCAGATCGCCGTCGAAGCGCGGCGAATCGCCTCTTCGTCGCCGGAGAATCAGACGGCGCAGGCGCTACCCGGGAAGGGCTGGTTCTCCGTGGGATGGTCGCAGAGCGGCGCGATGTATCCCGGCGACGCGGTGGTGGCCAATCAGCAGCGCGCTGCGGTCGCCGCGTATAGCATGACCGGGCACGACGCGAGCGCGGTTCGGCGGACGAACGATATTCAGCTGGGGAAGACGAGCCTGTCGCGCAGCGGGAACTCCGTTATAATGAAGTGCGTGATAGCTTTGAAGGCTGCCTCTCGTCTAAGTGAAGTTATGTCATGTACTTCCCCCCCCCCCCCAAAACAAAATCTCATTCAGTGTATCTTATGGAAAGACCCGTTGATCTTCCTGTTATCCCCTCCAGGTTTTCTCGTTTTGAGAACAACGGCGGAGTGGTGCCCTTCAGTATAAAGGGCTTCGGTATAGTCACGTGGGCGTACGCAGCAGACGGCACCAGAGTCCTCGGATCCCACGACAGCAACAAGCAAGTTTTCCCCAACCTGCATCCCGAACCTGCATCCCCAACCTGCATCCCCAACCTGCATCCCGAACCTGCATCCCGAACCTGCATCCCGAAACTGCATCTTGATCCTGCGTTTCGAACCTGCGTCCCGAACCTCGAGGTCCAGTTTGGGGCCTCGCAGCTGTAGATTCGTCACTCCCGTCCTTCCTTCCTTCCCCGGCCCCCCACCCCACCCTCCCAACACCTTCTCCCCATCTTCCCCACCCCGCCCACACCACCCTTTCCCCGTCTTCCACTCCCCCTCCTCTTCCAACCCTCTCCCCATCTTCCACCCCGCCTCCTCTTCCAGAGGATCATCACAGATTGATTTCCCCTGCGACGCTACTGCTCCCCCGCCCGCTGCTGTCCTCCCTGCATTCCCCCTCCTGACCCTTTCCTTCCCACCCCCTCCCTATCCTCCCCCACCTCTTCCCCCTCAGCACAGATTGATTTCTCCTGCGACGCTACTGCTCCCTGCTCCCCTCCTCACACACGCGCTTTCCCCCTGCCCCCCACTTTCCCCCTGGCCCCCACTTTCCCCCTACCCCCCAATTCTCCCCCTCAGAGGATCATCACAGATCGATTTCTCGTGCGACGCTACTGCTCCCCCGCCCGCCTCCCGCCCCACCTCCTCATCCTCACCCGGGCAGAACTGCAAGAAGTCGACTCTGCAAGGATACCAGTACCAGACGAGCCTGCAGGGCAGCAGGTGAGATATCAGATATCATTCTGTAATATGTGATGACGTGGAGACGTTACTTCCCTACGTGATAAAAGAGCTATTTTGAGACGTCTCAGAACAACCCTTTTTATCAGATATCATTCTGTAATATGTGATTATGTGGAGACGTTACTTCCCTACACGGCTACTACTCGCCCCGCGCCCCTCCTCCTCGCCGCCCGGGCAGAACTGCAACAAGTCCACACTTCAAGGCTACCAGTACCAGACCAGTCTGCAGGGCAGCAGGTGAGCTGTGATTATATGAGAGGTGATTGTAATGAAACTGAGAGGTGTGCCTATAGGGAGGTAGTGCCTTCCCGCCCCCCAACCTTCCTCCTCCTCCTCCTCGCCCGGCCAGAACTGCAACAAGTCCACTCTGCAAGGCTACCAGTACCAGACCAGTCTGCAGGGCAGCAGGTGATATGTGATTATATGGGAGGTGTGATTATACGGGAGGTGTGATGTTAACTGGAATTTCCTTCTCATCCTAATTTCTCCCTTCAGCATCGGTGGATCTGCCTGGCCTGGAGCAGCTCAAGTGGCTTTTGAGTCGACTCAAAAGTCACTTCAGCATCGGTGGATCTGCCTGGCCTGGAGCAGCCCTAGCGGCCGCATGGTGCCCTCCCCTCCCCTCCTCTGCTCCACCCCTCCCCTCCCCTCCTCTGCTCCACCCCTCCCCTCCCCTCCTCTCCTCCACCCCTCCCCTCCCCTCCTCTGCTCCACCCCTCCCCTCCCCTCCTCTGCTCCACCCCTCCCCTCCCCTCCTCTGCTCCACCCCTCCCCTCCCCTCCTCCGCTTCCCCCGCTTCTTCCCCTGCCGTCCTCTCTTCTCGCCCTTTTGCAGTCAGCTGTTACACTGGAAGGAAGCAGCGGGAAAGGCAGTAGAGATGGCAGTGGAAGCAAGACCCGGCAGCCCAGCGAAGGACGGATGGATGTCGCTTGGCTGGAGCAACCCCAGTGGCCGAATGGTGCCCTCAGACGCAGTCATCGGGAACCTTTACAACCACCTCTTCCCCCGCTTCTTCCCCCGCTTCTTCCCCCACTTCTTCCCCCGCTTCTTCCCCCACCTCTTCCCCCGCTTCTTCCCCCGCTTCTTCCCCCGCTTCTTCCCCCGCTTCTTCCCCCGCTTCTTCCCCCGCTTCTTCCCCCGCTTCTTCCCCCGCTTCTTCCCCCGCTTCTTCCCCCGCTTCTTCCCCCGCTTCTTCCCCCGCTTCTTCCCCCGCTTCTTCCCCCGCTTCTTCCCCCGCTTCTTCCCCCGCTTCTTCCCCCGCTTCTTCCCCCGCTTCTTCCCCCGCTTCTTCCCCCGCTTCTTCCCCCGCTTCTTCCCCCGCTTCTTCCCCCGCTTCTTCCCCCGCTTCTTCCCCCGCTTCTTTCCCTGCCTTCCTCTCTTCTCGCCCTTTTGCAGTCTGCTGTTACACTGGAAGGAAGCAGCGGGGAAGGCAGTAGACATGGCAGTGGAAGCCAAATCCGGGAGTCCGGCCAAAGATGGATGGATGTCGCTTGGCTGGAGCAACCCCAGTGGCCGAATGGTGCCCTCAGACGCAGTCATTGGGAACCTTTACGGCGGGGAGATTTATGCGTACAAGGTGCCAGGTTACTCAGTCGGATCGCTGTCAAGGGATGGGTTCGACATCGGGAGCGGGGCGAGCACCAAGACGGAAGGAGGATCGATCGTTATGAGGTGGGTTATTGCCTTCCTGTTTCTGGAGCTCTGCAGTTTTGGGTTGTCTCTGGGAACCTTTACGGCGGGGAGATCTACGCATAGTAGGTGCCGGGGTACTCAGTCGGATCGCTGTCGCGAGACGGGTTTGACATCCGGTTTGGATTGGGGGCGTCTGGGAAGATCTATGCATACAAGGTGCCGGGGTACTCGAGCGGATCGCTGTCAAGGGATGGGTTCGACATCGGGAGCAGTGCTAGCTCCAAGACAGAAGGAGGATCACTTATCATGAGGTGCGTTCCCCTTCCCTGAATCTGGAGTGAGGTTTACGTTGAAGGTTTCTGGGGAGATCTACGCATACAAGGTGCCGGGTTACTCGAGTGACTCGCTGTCAAGGGATGGGTTCGACATCGGGAGTGGAGCAAGCACGAAAACCGAAGGATGATCGATTGTTGTGAGGTGGGTTTGGATTGGGGACGTCTTCCTTTCACAGCGGGGAGATCTATGCATATAAGGTGCCGGGGTACTCAGTCGGATCGCTGTCGCGAGACTGGTTTGATTTGACATCGGGAGTGGCGCTAGCACCAAGACAGAGGGAGGCTCAATCATCATGAGGTGGGTTATGCCTTCCCTGAATCTGGAGTGAGGTTTACGTTGAAGGTTTCTGGGGAGATCTATGCTTACAAGGTGCCGGGGTACTCAGTCGGATCGCTGTCACGAGACGGGTTTGACATCGGGAGTGGCGCTAGCACCAAGACAGAGGGAGGATCGATTACCATGCAGTGCGTTTCTGTTGTCCATGGTGGTGTTGGGTTGGGTTTTTGGGCGGGTTGGGGAGTTGAGAGGGTTGGGAGGGTTGTGGGGGTTGGGAGGGTTGGGAGGCTTGGGAGGGTTGGGAGGGTTGGGAGGGCTGGGAGGGTTGGGTGGGAGGCTTGGGAGGGTTGGGTGGGAGGGTTGGGAGGGTTGGGAGGGTTGGGAGGGTTGGGAGGGTTGGGAGGGTTGGGAGGGTTGGGAGGGTTGGGAGGGTTGGGAGGGTTGGGGTATTCAAGTGGATCAGTGAAGAGAGTTGTCAACAGCCATGAGGTGCGTTCCTGTTGCCCATGGAGGTGTTGTTGTTGGGGTCTTGGGTTGGATTTTGAGTCTATTTTTGAGTCGACTCAAAAATAGTGTCAACAGCCATGAGGTGCGTTCCTGTTGCCCACGGAGGGGGGGTTGGGGGGGTTGGGGGGGCTGGGGGGGCTGGGGGGGTTGGGAGGGTTGGGAGGGTTGGGAGGGTTGGGAGGGTTGGGAGGGTTGGGAGGGTTGGGGGGGTTGGGAGGGTTGGGGTATTCCAGTGGATCAGTGAAGAGAGTTGTCAACAGCCATGAGGTGCGTTCCTGTTGCCCGTGGAGGTGTTGTTGTTGGGGTCTTGGGTTGGATTTTGGAGGCCACGTGAGTGGGAGGGTTCGACATTAGAACTCTTACTCGTTCTCAACCACTCTTCTACACACTCTCACTCGCTTCGTCACTCACTCTCTCAATCCCTGCCGCACTCCCCACCAGGTTCACTCGCACGGACAGCACGGGATGGTCCAATAAGTTCAAGCTACCGGGAAACAAGTGCATGCGAAGGGGGGTAAACCTGCAAACCTGCTTAGTCAATCTGGATGTCCCCTCCTCTTCACACTCCCCCCCACCAGGTTCACTCGCACGGACAACACGGGATGGTCCAATAGATTCAAGCTATCGGGGAAGAACAGCCTCATATGGGCTTATTCCTCGTCCGTTCCCTTCCTCACCCCTCCCACTCAGTCTCTCACCCTCTCTTTGTCACCCACTCTCTCACTCACTCTCACGATTCCCCCCACCAGGTTCACTCGCACAGACAACACGGGGTGGTCGAATAAGTTCAAGCTATAGGGGAAGAACAGCCTCATGTGGGCTTATTCCCATTGCTCACTCTCCCACTCGCTCCCGCATTCTCCCCCCACCAGATTCACTCGCACAGAAAACACGGGATGGTCGAATAAGTTCAAGCTGTCGGGGAAGAACAGCCTCATCTGGGCTTATTCCTCCTCATCCAACACACTAGGGTCACACGGACGCAACTAGTGAGTGTGTTTAAAACGAGTATGGTTTTCAAGTTGTTCCAGTGGCCGTCGCTCTGATTGATTCCTCTGCTACACACCACCCTCTTTTTTGAGGTTGATTATGAGAATGTTAATTGGAGGTTGATTGTGAGGTTGATTATATAAAATCTCAAAATCAACCTCTGCTACACACCACCCTCCTCACACCACCCGCACCGCGCACCAACTTCCTTACCCTCTCCTTACCCCCTCTTCCCCCCCTCCTTCCCACCCTCGCACCATCGCTATTTCCCACCCTGACACTTACCCAATAATGTCACTCCCCTTTCCTCCCCCAGTGGCCGCCTCTCTGTTGATTTCTCCTGCCGCGCGGCTCCTGCTAAGTCCCGCCCCGGCTTCTCGTGGTGGCCCAGGCGGGGTGGAGGGGGAGGGGGAAGGGATGGGGATGGGGATGATGATGACGATTAGAGAGGGGATGGGCGGTGGCATAGCAAGATAAGAGCTAACTCACGTGCCGTGCCACCTGCTAAGTCCCGCCCCGGCTTCTCGTTGTGGCCCAGGAAGGCAGGAGGGGGGGATGGGGAAGGGATGGGGATGGGGATGGGGATGACGATGACGATTAGAGAGGGGATGGGCGGTGGCATAGCAAGATAAGAGCTAACTCACGTGCCGTGCCACCTGCTAAGTCCCGCCCCGGCTTGTCGTGGTGGCCCAGGAAGGGAGGAGGGGGGGGGATGGGGATGGGGATAGGGATGATGATTAGAGGGATGGATGGTGGCACGGCAGAGCAAGGAAGGCATTGGGTCACGTGTCACCCGCTAAGCCTTTTGAGGCGGCGCCTAAGAAAATGATTAGAGGGATGGGTGGTGGCACAGCAAGGAAGGCGCTGGGTCACGAGTCACCTGCTAAGCCCCGCCCGGGCTTCTGGTGGTGGCCCAGGCGGGGTGGGGGAGGAGGAGGAAGGGATGGGGATGGGGATGATGATGATGATTAGAGGGATGGATGGTGGCCTAGCAAGGAAGGCGCTGGCTCATGTGTTCACCTGCTAAGCCCCGCCCGGGCTTCTGGTGGTGGCCCAGGCGGGGTGGGGGAGGAGGAGGAAGGGATGGGGATGGGGATGATGATGATGATTAGAGGGATGGATGGTGGCCTAGCAAGGAAGGCGCTGGCTCATGTGTTCACCTGCTAAGCCCCGCCCGGGCTTCTGGTGGTGGCCCAGGCGGGGTGGGGGAGGAGGAGGAAGGGATGGGGATGGGGATGATGATGATGATTAGAGGGATGGATGGTGGCATAGCAATGAAGGCACTGGCTCATGTGTTCACCTGGTAAGTCCCGCCCGGGCTTCTGGGTTACCCAGGCGGGGTGGGGGCGGAGGGGGGCATGGAGATGGGGATGGTGATGTGATGATGATTAGAGGGAGAATGGTGTGTGGGAGTCTGAGGGTTTGACAAAGTGACTGGGTTGACTTGGGTTGACCTGGGTTGGATAGACCTCCGAAAGTTGGCCTCTGGCCAACAAATGTTAACCCCCCTTATGGGAGTACACTGAACGGTTGCTGTATTCTGTATTTTATACAGCTAATTTCATAGCCAAACCATGACAAACGATACGACCACACCACATGCAATCTCATTTTCCTGTTCCGGCAAGGTGCCCCGGCAAGTGCAATCAAGCAAAGTTGAACTAGACGTTAGATTGTTGCACTATTTGCCACAGCATGTAAAACTAGACGTTATGAAAACCACATAATAATGAAGTTGCTACAGTGTGAAGTGTGCATTAAAGCTCTATTTGGTAGCTGAGAGCTCGAGACGAGTGGCCCCGTGTGAACTGCATTATAACAATACCGAGGTACGTTATAGCGAGAACTGCTACAGTGGTTCCGAATAAGACGTTCCAAACCTGCTTGTGGGAGGAGGCGGGCGATGAATGAAACACAGAAACAAGGGGGGGGGGGGGGAGGAGTGGGGGAGGGGGAATGTGGGGGGGGCTTTATCAGCATGTACACAACACATGCATGTAGGCATGCATTTTAGCAGGGAGTGTACGTACACACATTCATGTGCGCGCATATCTCTGTACGCGTGTGCACTTATCCATGTGTGTGTGTGTGTGTGTGTGTGTGTGTGTGTGTGTGTGTCTGTGTGTCTGTGTGTGTGTGTGTGTGTGTTTGTGTGTTTGTGTGTGTGTGTGTGTGTGTGTGTGTGTGTGTGTGTCTGTGTGTGTGTGTGTGTGTGTGTGTTTGTGTGTGTGTGTGTGTGTGTGTGTGTGTGCGCGCGCGCGCGGGCGCGCGCGTGCGCGCTTGCATGTGCGCGCAATTGTGCGCATATGTCCATGAGTGCACCCTACAACCCCCTACAAACCCCTCCACCCCCCTACAACTCCCTACAACGCCCTACACCCCCTTGCAACCCCTTACGAACCCCACTGACAACACACATACTATGACAGCCGTCTTGGAGAGGTCCAAATAGAGCTTCAAGACTGAGAGGGCATTCGCCCACCCCATGCCCAGCACAGCCAGCCCCAGCAGCCCATGCGCAAACCGCCATACAGACTGCTAGCAGAATCGGTAACACGCCCAGAAACCCTTACAAAGCCCCACAAGCATACGTACCGTGACAGATGAGAAGAAGACGATGCTGTAGAGCTTCAAGCCAGAGAAGGCGTTGGCCCACCCCATGCCCAGCACTGCCAGCCCCAGCAGCCCATGCGCAAACCGCCAAGACAGCCTGCTAGCCGCTCCCTTTGCCGGCCGCAGAAACCCTAACACCGGCTGCACCAGCACCAGCAGCAGCCACCCCCGGAAACCCCTACAAACCCCGCCCCTACAACCCTCCAGTTCCCTCCCCAACACTGACCGTGACAGATGAGAAGAAGACGATGCTGTAGAGCTTCAAGCCTGAGAAGGCATTCGCCCACCCCATGCCCAGCACTGCCAGGCCCAGCAGCCCATGCACAAACCCAGAAACCCCTACAAAACCCTACGTACATACCGTGACAGATGCGTAGAAGATAATAGAATAAAGCTTCAGGCCTGAGAAGGCATTTGCCCATCCCATGCCCAGCACCGCCAGACCTAGCAGCCCATGCGCAAACCGCCATGACAGCCGGTTACTAGCTCCTTTTTCCGGCCGCAGAAACCCTAACACCGGCTGCACCAGCAGCAGCAGCACCACCACGAGGCCCATCTGACCGTGCGATTGGCTCAGGCCGTCCGATCCGACGGCTGCGAACGCGAGTGTGCAGCCGAGGAGGCAGCAGAGGAGGGCTGAGAGATTGAGGTATTGGTGGTAGGAGAGGGCGTGGAGTTGGAGGTTTGGGAGGAAGGAGAGAGAAGGGAGGAAGGGGTGGGCTTGGAGGAGGGATGCGCTGGTGGTTGGGGAGAGCGGGGGGGAGAGAGGAGGGGAATCGTCGGGAGGAGCAGCGGGACGGGAGGAGGAGGAAGAGGAGGGGGCGTTGGTGGTGGTGGTGGTGGAGTGCTGCTGCTGCTGCTGCTGCTGCTGCTGCTGCTGCTGCTGCTGCTGCTGCTTTTGAATTAGCCCAGATGCCATTTCGGATGATCCTTGAGAATCATTGAAACGTAGAGATGGGTCTGACCCACTGGTCCCAGAATCAGGATCGTGTGAGAGAGAGGAGGAGTAGTGGGAGGAAGAGTGGTGGGAGGAGGAGTGGAGGAAGGGGAGAGAAGGGGGGCCTGAGAGGAAGAGACGGGCAATGAGGATTGCGGAGGGCATGAGGAGGAAGAAGGCGAGAGAGAGGAAGAAAGCATGGGCTATTAGGGCGGAGGAGGTGGAGGAAGAGTAGGAGGAGGAGGAGGAGGATGAGAGAGGGGAAGATGAAAGAGAGGTGGAGGGTGATGAGGAGGAAGGAGGGAAAGAGGAGGAAGAGGGGGAGGAGGGGGAGGCGGATAACGGAGGAGAGGTGGAGGGGGAGGAGGGGGGAGCAGGTGGGGAGGAAGAGGAGGAGGATGGGGAGGAGGTTGAGGAGTGTTTGGAGTCGCCTGTTATGATGTCGATTACGGTGGCGCCCCTGTTATGATAGGTGCAGAGCGGTGGAGTGTAACGAAAGAAAGGAAGAAAAGAAAGGAGAAACGAGAGGTTATGCAAAACGAGAGGTGAAGAAAGCAGGGGGGGGAGGAAGGACGAGGGGAGGGGGTGGAAAGGAGGAGAAAGAGCGGATGAGTTAAAAAGAGGGGCTAAGAAGCCTTTATGCACAAATGAGCAATTGTTTTTTCTTCTGGAGAATGGGTTAGCATGCATGCATATGTAATTGCATGAATATGTATATGTAGTCACATGCAGTGACACATGCCACACATGCAGTGACACATGCCACACATGCAGTGACACATGCCACACATGCAGTGACACATGCCACACATGCAGTGACACATGCCACACATGCAGTGACACATGCCACACATGCAGTGACACATGCCCACACATGCAGTGACACATGCCACACATGCAGTGACACATGCCACACATGCAGTGACACATGCCACACATGCAGTGACACATGCCCACACATGCAGTGACACATGCCACACATGCAGTGACACATGCCCACACATGCAGTGACACATGCCACACATGCAGTGACACATGCCCACACATGCAGTGACACATGCCACACATGCAGTGACACATGCCCACACATGCAGTGACACATGCCCACACATGCAGTGACACATGCCCACACATGCAGTGACACATGCCACACATGCAGTGACACATGCCACACATGCAGTGACACATGCCACACATGCAGTGACACATGCCCACACATGCAGTGACACATGCCACACATGCAGTGACACATGCCCACACATGCAGTGACACATGCCACACATGCAGTGACACATGCCACACATGCAGTGACACATGCCACACATGCAGTGACACATGCCACACATGCAGTGACACATGCCCACACATGCAGTGACACATGCCACACATGCAGTGACACATGCCCACACATGCAGTGACACATGCCACACATGCAGTGACACATGCCCACACATGCAGTGACACATGCCACACATGCAGTGACACATGCCACACATGCAGTGACACATGCCCACACATGCAGTGACACATGCCCACACATGCAGTGACACATGCCACACATGCAGTGACACATGCCACACATGCAGTGACACATGCCACACATGCAGTGACACATGCCCACACATGCAGTGACACATGCCACACATGCAGTGACACATGCCCACACATGCAGTGACACATGCCACACATGCAGTGACACATGCCCACACATGCAGTGACACATGCCACACATGCAGTGACACATGCCCACACATGCAGTGACACATGCCCACACATGCAGTGACACATGCCACACATGCTGATGTCACAAATGCAGACATGCAGATGCCACAAATGCAGACATGCTGATGTCACGCATGCACCCACCTGTTCTGCATGTGGAATTCCAGGTTCTGCGACCCATCCCCAGCGTACGCCCATATGATGTTGGCCAGCCCATTCTCGTGCATGGGGTTCATGCCTGCTCCAAAAACACGCTCGAACCTGAAGGAAAGACGGGCGGATAGATCATAGAGGCAACACATGCAGGAGCAGGAAACGCATGTAAGCAAATGTGATGTTGGCTGGACCATTCTTTTGAGAATTCCCAAAAGTGATTGTATCGAGTTCAGGCCTGCTCCAAACACGCGCTCGAAACAAGACATGTCGAACGAAACCCCAGCGTACCAAACGAGTGTCCTGCCATTCACTGTGGCGACGCCGCTTTTGGCGGCTCGGAACAGCTCAGAGAGACCAATCGATTCCCGGCTGTACCCTCCGATAGAGAACGCCCCCACTGCCGGCATGCCCAGGCCCGTTGCCCATGCCTGCTGCCTCCATTCCCATGCTCAACCCATTGATTCCCAGCTTACCAAATGAGTGTCCTGCCATTCACTGTCGCGACGCCGCTTTTGGCGGCTCGGAACAGCTCAGAGAGACCAATCGATTCCCGGCTGTACCCCCCGATAGAGAACGCCCCCACTGCCGGCATGCCCAGGCCCGTTGCCCCCCATTCCCATGCTCAGGCCAATGATCCCCAGCGTACCAAATCAGAGTCCTGCCATTGGCAGTGGCAACGCCGCTTTTGGCGGCTCGAAACAGCTCAGAGAGGCCGATGGACTCGCGGCTGTACCCCCCGATAGAGAACGCTCCCACTGCCAGCATGCCCATGCCCGTTGCCCATGCCTGCTGCCTCCATTCCCATGCTCAACCCATTGATTCCCAGCTTACCAAATGAGTGTCCTGCCATTCACTGTCGCGACGCCGCTTTTGGCGGCTCGGAACAGCTCAGAGAGACCAATCGATTCCCGGCTGTACCCCCCGATAGAGAACGCCCCCACTGCCGGCATGCCCAGGCCCGTTGCCCCCCATTCCCATGCTCAGGCCAATGATCCCCAGCGTACCAAATCAGAGTCCTGCCATTGGCAGTGGCAACGCCGCTTTTGGCGGCTCGAAACAGCTCAGAGAGGCCGATGGACTCGCGGCTGTACCCCCCGATAGAGAACGCTCCCACTGCCGGCATGCCCATGCCCGTTGCCCCGTACGGCAGGTTGCCTATTGCGGCATCGCTGCCGGCCATGCGGCCCATGCGGGACCACCCGAGGGCCACCCAGCCTGTCGTGGCTGCGTCTGCTGCGAGAGAGACTGAGGCCTTGTTGACCCGCCAGTGCAGGATGAAGCTGGGAGAGGAGTGGGGAGGAGGGGGGGAGTAGTTTGGAACAGGAGACGGGGTAAGAAGAGGAAATGACAACGCGAGCAGGGCAGGGCAGCAGCAGCAGGTTGCCTATAGCTGCATCGCTGCCAGCCATGCGGCCGAGGCGGGACCAGCTGAGAGCCACCCAGCCTGTCGTGGCTGCATCGGCTGCAAGAGAGAGACTGAGGCCTTGTTGACCCGCCAGTGCAGGATGAAGCTGGGAGAGGAGTGGGGAGGAGGGGGGGAGTAGTTTGGAACAGGAGACGGGGTAAGAAGAGGAAATGACAACGCGAGCAGGGCAGGGCAGCAGCAGCAGGTTGCCTATAGCTGCATCGCTGCCAGCCATGCGGCCGAGGCGGGACCAGCTGAGAGCCACCCAGCCTGTCGTGGCTGCATCGGCTGCAAGAGAGAGACTGAGGCCTTGTTGACCCGCCAGTGCAGGATGAAGCTGGGAGAGGAGTGGGGAGGAGGGGGGGAGTAGTTTGGAACAGGAGACGGGGTAAGAAGAGGAAATGACAACGCGAGCAGGGCAGGGCAGCAGCAGCAGGTTGCCTATAGCTGCATCGCTGCCAGCCATGCGGCCGAGGCGGGACTAGCTGAGAGCCACCCAGCCTGTCGTGGCTGCATCGGCTGCAAGAGAGAGACTGAGGCCTTGTTGACCCGCCAGTGCAGGATGAAGCTGGGAGAGGAGTGGGGAGGAGGGGGGGAGTAGTTTGGAACAGGAGACGGGGTAAGAAGAGGAAATGACAACGCGAGCAGGGCAGGGCAGCAGCAGCAGGTTGCCTATAGCTGCATCGCTGCCAGCCATGCGGCCGAGGCGGGACCAGCTGAGAGCCACCCAGCCTGTCGTGGCTGCATCGGCTGCAAGAGAGAGACTGAGGCCTTGTTGACCCGCCAGTGCAGGATGAAGCTGGGAGAGGGGTGAGGGAGAGGGGCGTTGCGAACGGAAAGACGAGAATGGGTGAAGGAGTGGCAGTTATAGTGCGGGCAGGGCAGGGCAGGGCAGCAGCAGATAACAGCTAGCAGGTAACAGGTTGCCTATGGATGCATCGCTGCCAGCCATGCGGCCCAGGCGGGACCAGCGGAGAGCCACCCAGCCTGTCGTGGCTGCATCGGCTGCAAGAGAGACTGAGGCTTTGTTGACCCGCCAGTGCAGGATGAAACTGGAGTAGGTGGAGAGGGGTGAGGAGGGGTGGAGTGGTTTGAGGCCGGACCAGCTGAGAGCCACCCAGCCTGTGGTGGCTGCATCGGCTGCGAGAGAGAGACTGATGCCTTGTTCACCCGCCAGTGCAGGATGAAACTACGAGGGGCGAAGGGGGGATGGGGGGGTTGCAAAGGGGTGGGGAGAGCAGAGGTGGAGTGGTTTGAATTGGCTGCGAGGGTGATTGAAGCCTTGTTGACTCGCCAGTGGAGGATGAAACTAGGGTGGGGGTTGGGGGAAGATGGAGGGTGCAAAGGGGTGGAGGGGGGTGGAGTGGTTAGAGATGGCTGCGAGGGCGATTGAAGCCTTGTTGACTCGCCAGTGCAGGATGAAACTGGGAGGGGGGATTGGCAGGGGAGAGGGGTCACATGCAATGCCACGCAGTGTTGGCGGGGGATTTCTATGAACGCACTGGTTAGAAAGGAAAGGAAAGGGTGGAACTCACTCGCTGCCTCGGAGTTGGCGCGAGCAGGTGTATCCCGGCAGGGGAGAGGGGTCACAGGCAATGCCACGCAGCGTTGGAGGGGCCACCGGGGGGTGGCGAGGGGGGGAGGCGCAGGAGTAGTCCAGAAGCAATGCGCCTCTGGAGGGGGAGGGATAGGGGACAGAAGGATATGAACGCCAAGGTTCTCGTTGATGTATGAGGTGCTTCACGTCGTGCGGACAAACATGTGTATTTTGAGGCGCCTCAAAATACACCTCATTGCAGACAGAAGGATATGAATGCCAAGGTTCTCGTTGATGTATGAGGTGCTTCACGTCGTGCGGACAAACATGTATGAGGTGCTTCACGTCGTGCGGACAAACATGTATGAGGTGCTTCACGTCGTGCGGACAAACATGTATGAGGTGCTTCACGTCGTGCGGACAAACATGTTCGCAAAGCGGGTTTTTCAAATACTGCATCCCCTTGGAAGAAATTGATGCGCGAGCTGAATCGTAACCTTCACTTCTAGAGCCCTCCTGAGATTCTGCAAAGGAACTTCCTTTGTCCCTTTGTGGAAATCATGAACGTGGTTTCGTACATCCGTATGATGTAACGTCTTATACTGTTTTGCCGTACAGAAGTCTGAGATTGATCTACAGTGCTGATCTCGGCCCTCTCTGCATAGAAGAAGACATGATTTACAACCGAGTTGTAGAACAGCGAATAATCATATTACCTGCTTGTCGTTCAGCTCAATCAACTTCACTCTGAGAAACTCTCGAGCTTGTGTTGGGATAGCGGGGTAAATTCAAAGAGCGATATGCCGATGGGGACCATGATAGAGTGGCGTCTGTGAGTTGTCGGGGGAGTGCGCCTTGAGAATGAAAGAAGGGAGGGTGTGTGCGTGTGCGCATGTGCATGCATGCAAGCACATGAGGCAGTGAGCGACATACCGGTGGGGCCCGTGGTAGAGTGGCGTGTGCAAGTTGTCCGGGGAGTGCGCCCAGAGAATGACGTTGGAGGCATCTAGTGACAGAGGCACCGCCGCCACGTCCCCTGATGTCCGCATGAACCTGAGAGGAGGACGACAGGGGGGGGGGAAAGAAGCAGGGAGGGGGAGGAGGGAAGCAGGGAGAGCGAAGCGTGTGAGTGGTCAGGCGAGTGCGCTCAAAGAATGACGTTAGAGGCATCTAGTGACAGAGGCACTGCCGCTACATCACCTGCTGTCCTCTGAAACCTGAGACGAGGGAGGGCGCAGGAGGAGGGGAGCAGGGAGGGGGGTGTACGAGGAAAAGTGATGTGATAGTGCAGGGAGCATGGGAGTGGCGTGTGTGAGTTGTCAGGGGAGTGCGCTCAGAGAATGACGTTGGAGGCATGTAGTGCCAGAGGCACTGCCGCCACGTCCCCTGCTGCCTGATTGAACCTGATGGGAGGGAGAGCGCATGGGGAGGGAGCAGGGAGGAGAGCAGGGAGGGGAGCAGGGGGGGGAGGAGGGAGGGGAGCAGGGGGGGGAGGAGGGAGGGGAGCAGGGGGGGGAGGAGGGAGGGGAGCAGCAAGGCGAGCAGGGAGAAGTTTGAACGAGTGGACCTGTGGGCATAGCTCCAGCCACTGCATCTAGTTCTACCTAACCATTTTTGAGGCGCCTCAAAAGTGGACCTGTGGGCGGGCATAGCTCCACCCCACTGCATCTAGCTCTACCTAACAGCACATTTTTGAGGAGCCTCAAAAAGAAGTTTGGACGAGTGGACCTGTGGGCATAGATCCAGCCCAGCCACTGCATCTAGTAACTAGTTCTACCTAACAGCACATTGCCTCATCCCGTTTCACTATAGTCAAGCCCCTTACAAGTTACACTCACAGGCACGCTCCCATTCTCCCTGCTGAATGACAGCCTGACGGACAGCCCAAGCCCCATCCACCCCACTGCACGCCCTTTCCCACTCTTTATTATAGCTTCTAGCACACCCGTCCCGTCCCATCCCATCCCCATTTCTCCCTTCCCCTCTCCCCTCTCACCTCACAATAGTCGACCCCCTTGGATTCACAGACACACTCCAATTCGTCTTGCTGTATGAAAGCCCGTGCTCCATCCTCTGCATCCCCTCTCACTCCTACACATACAACTTAGCACACCCATCCCCATCCCCATCCCCATCCCCATTTTTCCCTCCCCATCCCCCCTCCCCTCCCCTCTCACCTCACAATAGTCGACCCCCTTGCATTCACAGACACACTCCAGTTCGTCTTGCTGTATGAAAGCCCGTGCTCCATCCTCTGCATCCCCTCTACAGAGTACCCCGTTATATGCACTGCCATGAGCGGCCCTGTAGCCTTCAACCCTCCCCCTGCCATGTTGGCTACTATCGCGTCGCTGCCTGCCATTCGCCCGTCCCAGGACCAGCCAATCGCAAGCCAGCCTGCCTCCGCGCCGCTCTCCGGCTTGGCCTCTAGTGCCATGTGGACTGATGACGTGGCAGGGTGGACGGTCCAGTGGAGGAGGAGGCTGGGGAGGGAGGGATGGGGTGTGGAGAGTGCGGGAGAGAGAGGGTGGGAGGGAGAGAGAGTGGGGTTTGCTGAACCGTCTATTATATTCAATGAGAAGGACCGTTAGAGAGAGGAGAGTGAGAGAATGAGAGCGTGAGAGAGTTGGGAGTTGGTGAGGGTGACAAGTTGGGAGGGGCGAAGAATTCGGGCGAGAGGAGAATGAGGACGAGAAGGAGAGCAGGAGAAACGGAGGACAAAGAGAGGAGGAAGAACACGAACAGAACAACCTAAGAACGTAACACCTGCCACGTGGCGCTTACAAATCCTACGCCACGTGGCACTCACCCGTCGGTGGAGAGCTGCGTGGAGTGCGTGTATCCGCCCAACGTGGACGGCTGGCATCGCGCCACCTGTAACACGCTGCTGTCCGTCGCCCATTGGCTGGTTTCTTGTAACATTCTCGAGCCGCCGGTGTCTGCCCCCCATTGGTTGGTTTCTTGCGGCGTTCTCGAGCCGCCAGTGCCTGCTTCCCATTGGTCGCCGGAGGCATTGTCACGAAGCAGACCCGACACGCCATCCCGATTCTCGAAGCTTCCAGGAAAACTCCCTTTTTCCAAACCCTGAGCGGAGCTGCTGCTGTCCTTAGGCTGACTCGATAAGGTATCGCGGGACGCGGCTAAAGCGCGTATATCCGGTGAATGCAGAGAAATAAATAGGAGCAGCAAGTGGAAGAGCGAGAGGACAGGCAGTAAGAAACGTCGACGGTGAACAATGTGGTCGGAATGAGTTCGATTCGCCATAACGAGGATCCCGGCTCGACCAGTAGTACCGGCGGTAAGCATCAATAGTGGCGTTACAACAAGTAATAAGCTATATTTCTAGAAATTATTTATTTTGTTACCGCTGCCTTAGCTGCATTGCTAATCGGAACTTGAAAGACAACACCAGAGCTTCCTGGATTCAGGAAGCAATGCTGCTAACAAGCATTGCTTGCTAGTTAGAAATGCCGTCCGATAATACTTCGGCAGGAATATGGTGGTTGGCTGCAATTAGCGGCAATTCCAAGGGCTCGCGAAGTTCGGTTCACTACCACACGACGGCTTCGCGAAAGGTTACCGTTCTCAGACAGCAAGATGCTAATAACTCTGATGATAAGAACACTGGATGTTATATTTTCTGAACTTTATTTTAAACAAAACATGTCAAATCAAGTTAAGGGCATCTATCATTATTATGCCCGGCTAACATATGCACTGTACTGAGGCCCTTCTACTTTTCCCTTTTCAAGCTGGCCGCGGCATACGAAGAGCATGTACACAATGACAAACACTGCCATAATGATGCCCAAAAATGCTTCGAGCCCCTGCAATGCAGCACAAGTGAGAAGGAAACATGAGCCCAACCAGCTAATGAATTAGTGAAACCATAACAATGAATCACAACAAGAGCAAGAGCCCCTTCAAACTATGACTAGTCGCATCACTGAAAAACAATGACAAACTTACAAATGGATCACTTCCGACGAAGCTGAAGTAGAGGTTCATTCCGAGGAAAATATTCGCCCATCCCATCACCACCGCCGCAATCCCAACCGCCCAGTGCACCCAATGCCACGTGCTCCTTGTCCACGTGGCGGACCGCGATTGGTTGATGCTTCCATTCAAGTTGTTGAGCGGCCGGAGGAAAATGACGATTGGTTGGAAGACGAGGAGGAGGATGAGGACAGCAATGCCGACCCATGCGTGGGCGTGATTGAAGCCGTGAGTCCCAGATGAGACAAACGCTGTGATGCACCCGATGCAGATACAGACGAGCGCAGCCACCTGCAGGTACTTGTGCCATGCGAACCAGAATGCTCGGCTCTGCTGCAGCTGGGAAATCACATCCCCCCCTTCCTGCCGCCGCTGCTGGGCGGTGCGTGCTGATGTGGCGCCTCGTGAGCCCGCCACATCAGCATCCGGGGAGGCTGACTCTGCGTGGGCGAAACTAGCCATGCTGGCGTCCAGCTGGGCGTTGGCTTCAGCAAGGCGAAGTGGCTCTGTGTGCGTGACTCTACCCAACGTGACTGAACCGAAGCCAGTACTGCTGCTGCTAATGCTGCTGCTGGTTCTGACTGTGCCCGTGGTATAGCAATCGGTGTTGTTTTCAGGAAGGTTCACGAGGCAGATCCGAGCAAGCAGGATGGCGGAAGGCATGAGGATGAGAAAGGCAGTGATGAGGCAGATGGCATGGGCTATATGGCTGATTTGTTGAATTGCGGAGGGAGGGTGGCGGAGGAGGAGGAGGATGGGGACGGGGGAGAGGTGATCGATTCTCCTGTGACAAGGTTGATAGACACTGAACCCCTGTTGAGGGAGGAGAGAAGGGGGAGGGAAAGGCAAGAGAGACAAGGGGAAAAGAAGAGTTTGATCAGTTTCACAAGGGGCAGATCTGGGCAAGCAGGATGGCGGAGGGCATGAGGATGAGAAAAGCGGTGATGAGGAAGATTGCATGGGCTATGATGGCTGATTTGTTCAAGTGCGGAGGGAGGGAGGCGGAGGAGGGGGGGGATGGGGACGGGGGAGAGGTGATCGATTCTCCTGTGACAAGGTTGATAGACACTGAACCCCTGTGAGGGTGAGAGGTAGAGAAAGGGGAATAAGGAGCCAGAGAAAAGGGACAGAAAGGCGGGAGCAGAGGGCATGAGGACGAGGAGGGCGGTGATGAGGCAGCTGGCATGGGTTATGATGGCTGATCTGTTCAAGTGTGGAGGGGGGGAGGCGGAGGAGGAGGAAAGGGAGGGGAGACACCGAGTTTGGGTCAGTCAGGTTCAGGGAGTTGATGAGTCGCACAAGGGGCAGATGGGGACGAGAAGGGCGGTGATGAGGCAGTCGGCACGGCATGGGCTATGATGGCTGATTTGTTCAAGTGCGGAGGGGGCGGGGATGAGGCGGAGGAGGAGGAAAGGGAGGGGAGACACCGAGTTTGGGTCAGTCAGGTTCAGGGAGTTGATGAGTCGCACAAGGGGCAGATGGGGACGAGAAGGGCGGTGATGAGGCAGTCGGCATGGGCTATGATGGCTGATTTGTTCAAGTGCGGAGGGGGCGGGGATGAGGCGGAGGAGGAGGAAAGGGAGGGGAGACACCGAGTTTGGGTCAGTCAGGTTCAGGGAGTTGATGAGTCGCACAAGGGGCAGATGGGGACGAGAAGGGCGGTGATGAGGCAGTTGGCATGGGCTATGATGGCTGATTTGTTCATATCCGGTTAAAGGGGAGAGGGGGATGAAGGTGTGGAGGGGGAGAGGCGGATGAAGGGGAGAATGGGGATGCGAGTTGAGTCCATATCCGGTTAAGCCCATATCCCCCCGTGCCACTTTCCCCAGGAGGATTTTGGGAACCTCACCTGTTGTTTCCGTGGAAGGCGAGCTTCCTGGAACCTTCATCGGAGTACGCCCAGATGATGGTTGCCACGTCAGCAGCAGAAAGCGGCAGCTGTCCGTTCACTAGTGGCCGCTCGAACCTGCATGATGCGGGGGGGAAGGGGTGAGGGTGGGAAATGGGGGAGAGAAGTGAGGTGGGGGGAAATGGGGGGGTGTGAGAGGGTGGGATGGGGGTGTGAGGGGGGGGAAATGGTAGTGGGGACCAATGTGGATGGAGGAGGGCAGAGGAGGGCGGACGGCGAGGGGCCGCGAGTGGGCGGGCTTCTGGGAAATTCAGCAACGGGAACACGGCGGCGCCTCTCCTAATGAAGCCCAAAGGCGATGCTGCCCCAGGAAGGTTTGCAGGTGGGGGGAACGGAAGCAGGGTGAGTTGTGGTGGGGGAGGGGAATTGGGGAAAATCCAAGTTGGACACAAATGACAAGAAAAGCCAGAATTGTCCCCCCCCCCCCCCCCCCTTTTTTTGTCCTCATTAAACAAGTTGGACACAAATGACAAGAGAAGCCAGGTTGAAGCGCTTAACAACACACAGACAGACTCACCTCATCACAATCCTTCCTCTGCTCGTTGTTGTCACACTCGCATTAGTCACAGTGACCTTCGGAGCCGGACGAATGGCGCTCCTCTCGTATCCACCAATCAGGAACGAACCCACAGCCTGTTCCTCCTTTCCTGCCACGTCAGCACCGCCGCCTGCCCTGCTGGTGCCACGTGGCAGGTTCCCAATGGCTGCCTCGCTGCCGGCCATCTTGCCGTCCTTGGACCAGCCGAGAGCCACCCAACCGGTGGTTGCCACGTCAGCAGCGAGGAGGAGGGAGGAGGGAGTGAGATGCCAGTGGAGGGTGAAACTGGAGGGCGGGGGGGAGGGGAAAAGGGAGACGGGGAGAGGTTGGGGAGAATAGAGGCAACCCCTGGTGTCTACAGCCTAATTTGTCCCCGTTTTGCTTTGAGTCGACTCAAAACAATTTCACAGCCTAATTTGTCCCCGTTTTGCTGTAGTCAGCAGCTGTAACCTGGACGGCCAGCTACACTCCGTGCTGCTGCTACAGCTACCCACAGCATAGCCAGTGCCTCACCTGTAGCAGCTGCAGCAGCTGTAGCAGCTGTAACCTGGACGGCCAGCTACACTCCGTGCTGCTGCTACAGCTACCCACAGCACAGCCAGTGCCTCACCTGTCCGCAGCTGTAGCAGCTGTAGCCAGGCAGGGAGGACGGCTGGCAGGACTGCTGAGACCTGTGGCCTGCTACAGCCGCTGCTGCTACCAGAGACTCACCTGTCTCCCTTCAGCTGTAGCATGCAGGTGTAGCCGGGCAGGGTGGACGGCTGGCAAGACTGGCGGGACCTGGCAGGGCTGTAGCATACAATAGTACGTCCCATCCTCACCTGTCGCCCTGCAGCTGTAGCATGCAGCTGTAGCCGGGCAGGGTGGACGGCTGGCAGGACTGGCGGGCAGGCGAGGCGAGCAGGTCGCACATGTAATCCACAAAGGCGGAGCCTCTGGTGGGGAGGGAAGGGGGAAAACAGGGAGGTGGGCGCAGAAAAAGGAGGGGGTGAAGGGGAATAGATGGCAGGCGAGGCGAGCAGGTCGCACATGTAATCCACAAAGGCAGAGCCCCTGGTGAAAGAAGGGGGGAAGGGAGGCAAGGTGGGTGTGGGGAAAGGATGGGGAACGGCTAGGTGAGCGGGAAGGCAGGACTGCCGTGCAGGCGAGGCGAGCAGGCCGCACATGTAGTCCACAAAGGCAGAGCCTCTGAGGGGGGGGTGGGGAGGGAGGGAAGGGGCAGGGAGGGGGGGTAGGGCCAGACCAGATTACCTAAATCTTACCATTTTGTTTCCTTAAGTTGCTTAAGCGTTTCTTCAGGTTTGCAGCTATTCCATTATGAGTAGGACCAGATTACCTGGATGGCTCATGATTTACGTCAGCTCACTCGGTCATTCACGTGGTTAAAAGGGGTGTGCTTATAACGAGGATACATGCACCGCACCTGTTCTTGCCATGATAACGAAGCACATCCTCTTGTCGGTTCGAGTACGCTCATATCACGTGGTGCCTCATGCTGTACGTCGGCTCGATTGAAGAACCATGTGCTTATAGCGAATGTGCATATAACGAGCGCCGTGCTAAAGGAACTCCCACCTATTCCTGCCGTGGTATCGGAGCACGTCCTCTCGGCGGTTCGAGTAGGCCCAGATTACGTGGTGGCTCATGCTGTAGGTCCATGTTACCATGTTACTTAACGTGTGACTGTACAAGCACCTACCTGTTCTTGCCATGATATAGAAGCACGTCCTCTCGTCGGTTCGAGTAGGCCCAGATCACGTGGTGGCTCATGCTGTACGTAGGCTCGTTGGAGGGGCTCCCTTTCCCGGTTGTGCTTATACCGGTTGGGCTTGTATTGAGGATGGGCGGATTTGAGACGAGGCTGCGGGAGAAGCTGGATTGAGGAAGGGAGGAGAAAAGGGAAGAGAAAGAGAGGAAGGGAGGGGAAAAGGGAAGAGAAAGAGAGGAAGGGAGGGGAAAACGGGAGAGAAAGAGAGGAAGGGAGGGGAAAAGGGAAGAGAAAGAGAGGAAGGGAGGGGAAAAGGGAAGAGAAAGAGAGGAAGGGAGGGGAAAAGGGAAGAGAAAGAGAGGAAGGGAGGGGAAAACGGGAGAGAAAGAGAGGAAGGGAGGGGAAAAGGGAAGAGAAAGAGAGGAAGGGAGGGGAAAAGGGAAGAGAAAGAGAGGAAGGGAGGGGAAAAGGGAAGAGAAAGAGAGGAAGGGAGGGGAAAAGGGAAGAGAAAGAGAGGAAGGGAGGGGAAAAGGGAAGAGAAAGAGAGGAAGGGAGGGGAAAAGGGATGAGAAAGAGAGGAAGGGAGGGGAAAAGGGAAGAGAAAGAGAGGAAGGGAGGGGAAAACGGGAGAGAAAGAGAGGAAGGGAGGGGAAAAGGGAAGAGAAAGAGAGGAAGGGAGGGGGAAAACGGGAGAGAAAGAGAGGAAGGGAGGGGAAAAGGGGAGAGAAAGAGAGGAAGGGAGGGGAAAAGGGAAGAGAAAGAGAGGAAGGGAGGGGAAAAGGGAAGAGAAAGAGAGGAAGGGAGGGGAAAACGGGAGAGAAAGAGAGGAAGGGAGGGGAAAAGGGAAGAGAAAGAGAGGAAGGGAGGGGAAAACGGGAGAGAAAGAGAGGAAGGGAGGGGAAAAGGGGAGAGAAAGAGAGGAAGGGAGGGGAAAAGGGAAGAGAAAGAGAGGAAGGGAGGGGAAAAGGGAAGAGAAAGAGAGGAAGGGAGGGGAAAAGGGAAGAGAAAGAGAGGAAGGGAGGGGAAAAGGGAAGAGAAAGAGAGGAAGGGAGGGGAAAAGGGAAGAGAAAGAGAGGAAGGGAGGGGAAAAGGGAAGAGAAAGAGAGGAAGGGAGGGGAAAAGGGAAGAGAAAGAGAGGAAGGGAGGGGAAAAGGGAAGAGAAAGAGAGGAAGGGAGGGGAAAACGGGAGAGAAAGAGAGGAAGGGAGGGGAAAACGGGAGAGAAAGAACGCAAGGGGGGAAGGGAATGGGAATGGGGATGTGATGGGGAAGGGGGGGTGGGAAAGGGTTGTTTCTTCCAATCCAATATTAGATTCCTTTTTCCACAAACGGGAGAGGTCCAGAGTAAGCCAGCTAAGTGAAACGTGGGAGAAGGAGGGATGCACGGAGGGGAGGGTAGGAATGAAACGTGGGAAAAAGGAAGTCTCAAAGCCTGAAAACGGGAGGAACGTAGGACGAATGTGAGGGAGAGGCAATGGAGGGGGGAGCAGCGAGAGAGAGAACAGAGCTGACTCATCACACGCCCCAGATGACTCATCACACGCCCCAGCTGACTCATCACACGCCCCAGCTGACTCATCACACGCCCCAGCTGACTCATCACACGCCCCAGCTGACTCATCACACGCCCCAGCTGACTCATCACACGCCCCAGCTGACTCATCACACGCCCCAGCTGACTCATCACACGCACCAGCTGACTCATCACACGCACCAGCTGACTCATCCCCCACACCAGCTCACCGCATCACAGTCGACCCTCGTGCTGACGTGTAAATGCTCCACCCCTCTCCACCACTCCCCACCTCTCCTCCACCCCCGTTCCCTGCGCTTTCCACCAGCCGTCGCACATCCTCCCGCTTATACCCGCTAATAGCATACGACGCCACGCCAGCCGCGCCGCCCAGAACACCCACTTTGCCGCCCGAACCGATCCCCTTGCCGCCCGGGGCTTGGGCGGCAATGCCGGCCGGAGATCCCACGATCGCCATGCTCGGGACCATGCGACCGTCGTGCGACCATCCCACTGCGACCCACCCGTTCTCCGCGCCGCTTCCGAAGCGCGCCTCGAGCGCGAACTCGAGGAAGAGGAGGTTGCGGCGCACCCAGTGCAGGACGAGACTGGGGGGGGGAAGGGGGGAAACGGGGGAGATAGGGGGGGATGTGAGCGGAAGTTGGGGGGAAGGGGAGTGGCTTGACTTCTGAGTCGTCTCGAGCGCGAACTCGAGGAAGAGGAGGTTGCGGCGCACCCAGTGCAGGATGAGCCTGAGGGGGGGGGGGGGGGGTGGGGTGTAGAGGGGGAGATAGGGGGGAAGACGGGGGAGATAGGGGAAGACGGGGGAGATAGGGGAAGTGGGCGGAAGTTGGGGGGAAAGGGAGGGGTGGACTGTTGGGGGGAACAGTGAAGAAGAGACGCTCAGATGCCGAAGCGCGCCTCGGGCGCGAGCCGGAGGAAGAGTGCTCGCTTACGTCTCTTCCCCTTCGCTTCAGTTACACCCTTGCCTGAAATCGGCCCCTCATTTGAATCATCTTGCTCACAAGCACACTCCCCCTTACCCGGCGCCTGCCCCGCCGACAAACACGGCTCTCAGCTCGCTTGCGCCTCATTCCTTTCGCTTCAGTCACACCCTTGCCTGATATCACTCCTTTGAATTTCACCCCCTTCACAAGCACACACGCCCTTACCCGGCCTCCGACAGAACCACCGAGTGGCTGAATCCCGCCAGCCCCGACGGCAAACACGGCGCGACGAACGCGGCGCCCTCGCTACCGTCCAAATGCCCCAGTGGGTCCCCGTGCCACCCGAAACTCGCCTCTACCGCCGCCACTTCCGCATCCGCCGCCGCCGCTGCCGCACGTGTACCGGTCGGAGGTGTCGCAGCTGCGATTGGCGGCTGGAAAACGACGATGCAGATTAACGTGCACACACATAAAGCTGCGGTATTTAAGAACCATGGTCGAGCCGCGGTGTCGTGAAAACGCTTCTTGGAATCCCTCTTTCGTACGGTCTGAAAGGAATCGAGTGATCGTAAGTCGTCCGCTGAGCAATTTATGGGAGAATGTCGAGATTGTCCGTCCAAGCGTCTAAGTGACGGTGTTGAGAAAGTTGAGGGAGTTCCGGAAATCGAGGTTTTAGCTCCTTTTAGGTCTCGGTCTGTTGATTGCGAAGATGTTTCTACATTCGTTCCAACGAGTAATGTTTCTGAAGCGCGTAGAGGCGCTGCTATTTTTCTCCTTGATGGAGGATGGGGGATACGGTGCGCTATTGAAGGATGCCCTACAAGCGAGTCGCACTGTTGGGACATGACCATGACGTCTCGTCTCGTGACGCGCCAACCGCCGCGCTAGCTGTGATAAGCAACTCTTACTAGGCGCTTCTAGTGGCCTAACTGTTCAATCGCTTAGAGTGCTCGGAGAAGAAAAGACGCCTTCTATTCATTACAAATTTGCCCTTGGAGGTGCTTCGGCTCGGCACGGCAAGCCTGGCTTGTGTGGGTCGCTCGCAACGACGACAGCATGTATGTGTCGAGATGAAGCTGGGCAGGGCAAATTTGGATGGAGCCCCATCGCCGTCCCCGAGCAGGGCAGGATTGGGAGTGACCGTAGTTTTAGGGCTGTGCAAAAACGGGCTCTGGGTTGTTTGGGCAGGGCATATGGGAAGGGAAGGGAGGCCATAAAAAGGTGTTTAGTGGGGAAGGGGCAGCTGGTGGTACCTGTGTGGCCCAGGTTACAGCACAGTCTAGTGCGTGCGTGCATTGCCCCTAGCGAGCAAAACAGGTTTCCGGGATCGTCGTCGGTTCGTCGTCGTGCAATGTGCGACAGAAGACTATCAGGACTGCGACGGATCGTGAATGTGGAGGCGATTTTATGGGCAGGTGCGTGGAGTCGGGTAGGTTTGGCTGGGTTGGTTGTGAATTTGTCGCACAGCGCGATTCATCCATCCGTCCTTCCACACAAGTTTTACCGTAACGAATGCATCGGTGACGAGCCGCGGATTCGAAAACTGCAACATGATACGTGTAATTCGGCAAAAACGCCGACCCGATTCGTTGACTCCACGGAAACGTCACGTCGCTGACTAGTACAGTAGGACAAGCCACGTCAGATGTTACATACGGAGGGTGGGTTTGCTGTGCGGCGCGTGATTTGCGTTGCCTCTGTTCGTTCTGGAAAGACAGAAACAGTAACTCTACATTGAGTAGATCGATAAGAGAAAATATATGTGGACTGGCATTTCAATGATATGGCCAGATTACCACAAAGCCATGTCACAACAGACGAAATAGTGCTACTACATCCCAACATATGCCTTTCAAGCAACACGCCGTCTTGCAAGAAAAAAGTAGCTGCAAGGGGCCATTACCACACAATGTGCAGCAGTACCCGTAGACAACATTCATGTAGCTTATCTTAATGTCGTCTGCGTCTCTTATCATCGTCGTCATCATCGTCGTCATCATTATCTCCGTAATCCTCTTCGGCCTTGCTAGAGGGCGCATACCGGCACGAGAAATCAACCTTGGCAGTGCCACTGCAGACAGGCAAGCAACAAAAAGAAGCACCCGTGAGGGAAAGAAATTAGCAAATACGAGAAACCTTCCTTTTTTGGAGGGTATTGGGCTGCTTGATAAACAGGAAATAAAAAGAAAAGGGCAAGTGAGAGGAATAAAAGCACTCACTAGCTGTTGCCGTGGAAGGAAAGCGAGGGAAAGCCTGCGCGAGAGAAGGCCCACACGAGCTTAGACAGGCCCGCCATGGGGAATCGCATCACCACTCCCGAGTTCTTGGTGCGAGAGAAGCTGCAGGGGAGATTGGGAGGCAGCAGGCAGTAGGGCATGGGGAGTGAAGATATGAGGGTAGGGAAGCCAAGGGAGTGGATTGGGGGTAGGGTATGAGGGGTTATGCTTTGATCCGAGATGTGACAAGTTGTGGGGATGTGGGATGGTAGGTGATAATTAGCATACATGCGCATCACTCACGTGATAATAGTATCGTTTGTCGCGGTCGTGACCGTCGCCGCGTTACTCCCGATTGAAAACGCCGCCGGCTGAATCTTGCTCATGCTGTACCCCTTAATAACATATGGCATTACAAGCCCGCCAGCCAGGTTCCCGATAACAGCATCAGCGGGCGACATCTTTCCTTTGGGCGACCATCCCAGGGCGATCCACCCGTCCTTGGCCCTGCCTGCTGCCTTGGCCTCTACTGCCATGTCCACCTGCGTGGCTGACACCGGGGTCCAGTGGAGGAAGAGACTGGAGGGGAGAGAACATGGGGGAAAAGGAAAGGGAGTAGGAGATTGGTCAGACCACCCTTGGCCCTGCCTGCCGCCTTGGCCTCTATTGCCATGTCCACCTGCGTGGCTGAGACCGGTGTCCAGTGGAGGAAGAGACTGGGGAAAAGGAGGCGGAGAGGGTAAGGATTAGACAAACAGGGAGTAGGGAGGAGATGAGTTCTGAGTTGACTCGGATCGTCCTTGGCCCGCCCTGCTGCCTTGGCCTCTATTGCCATGTCCACCTGTGTGGCTGAGACTGGAGTCCAGTGGAGGAAGAGACTGGAAGGCGGAGGGAGGGTGGGGGTGAAGGGAGGGAGGGGAGATGGAAGGGGAGGAGGGGAGGAGATGTTTGAGTCGACTCAGAAGAGGGAAGAGGGGCTGGGGGGAGGGAGATGCAGCGGGGGGAACACTCCTAGGTAGAAAGCAGGCAATTTCAGCAGCAGAGAGAAGAGGGAGCAGAGAGAGGAGGTAGCAGAGATAGGAGGAAGCACAGAGAGGAGGGCGCAGAGAGAGATACATCAGGTGCTACTCACTTGGGCGGGCGCAGGGCGACTTGGAAGGCGTATCCGGGGAGGGTGGATGTGAGGGGAGGGGGGAAAGCAGCAGTCAGTGCATGTGGGGGAAGCACAGGACGCATGAGCACAAGAGCAACAGAGGGACAGCAGGTGTCACTCACTTGGGCGGGCGCAGGGCGACTCGGAAGGCGTATCCGGGGAGGGTGGATGCGGGGCAGGCTCTTCCAGTGGCGAAGGGGGAAGGGGGAGGCGGGGGGGCGCTGGTGGTGGGCGGAGGGGGCGGGCTGGAACCTGCCCCGCCAGTAGGGGGAGGCGGGGGGTTGGCTGTTCCGCCAGTGGGGGGAGGAGGGGTGGTGGCGGGCGGAGGGGGAGGGGGGGGAGCTATGGGGGAGCCGTTGCAGGAGAAATCGACAGTGAAGATTCCACTGGGGGAGGGAAAAGGGGGAAGGGGGGAGAAAAGGGGGAGAAATTGGGGAAAGAGAGGGAAAAAAAGAGGGGGGGGGGGGGGGGGGGGGGGGGGGGGGGGGGGGGGGGGGGGGGGGGGGGGGGGGGGGGGGGGGGGGGGGGGGGGGGGGAGGGGAGGGTGTAGGAATTGAGGGGGAGCGACAGGGGAGCCATTGCAGGAGAAATCGACAGTGAAAATTCCACTGGCGAAGGAAAAAGGGGGAGAAAAGGGGGAAAGGGGAGAAAAAGGGGGGAAGAAATGTAAGCGGGGAGGGGTGGGACTAAGGATTGTGGGAGGAGCGTCGGAGGAGCCATTGCGGCAGAAATGTCGACAGCAGTGAGGGTTCCGGCACCGCACAGCAAAGAACAGCACCGCACCGCACTGCACAGGACCAAATGTACCTGGCAGCACCCACCTGCCTCCACCACTCACCTGCCTGCCTGCACCACTCACTAGTGCGAGCCGTGGTAAGCAATGGTCTTGGCGCCGCTCTTGGAATAAGCATACACCATCCTGTTGCTGCCCTTCACGTTCACTGGCGCCGCTCCGCCGTCGCCCGTGCTGCGAGTGAACCTGGAGAAGCACAAAGGAAAGAGCACCCAGGGTATAAGCCCCGGTATGAGGTCCGATATGAGGTCCGGTACGAGGTCCGGTACGAGGTCCGGTATGAGGTCCGGTATATAACGGTGTGCGTGATAGACGGCCTCGTTCCTAACATGCTGGCTCCTGACGGAGAAGATAACAACGCGTACAACAGTCCACCCTGCCTGCACTCACTTCATCGTCGCGGTCGTTCCGCCCGTGTAAGCCCTGCCTACCGCGCCAAACGGACAAGCTATTAACGGGTACAGCGCACCCCCTCCCCCCTCCCAACGCACTCACTTCCTCGTGGCCGTCGTTCCGCCCGTGAAAGCCTTTCCGCCCGCGCCGAACGCGGTCGTGGCTTTCACCGTCGAGTAGCTCGTAACTGCGTACGTATTAACGGGGACGGGCGAGCCGCCCTGATTCGCAGCAAGGTGTGGTATGGGGTTTGTTGCAGCACTCACTTCATGGTAGCAACCGTCGTTGTGCCCGTAAAATGACATGCTTTCCGCGCCAAACGGAGAAGCTAATAACGGGTACAGCGCCCTGCCCCTCCAACATACTCACTTCATTGTGGCAGTCGTTCCGCCCGTGAAAGCCCTGCCTTCGGCGCCGAACGGAGAAGCTATTAGCGGGTACAACCCCCCCTCACACTCACTTCATGGTAGCCGTTGTTCCGCCAGTAAACGACCGGCTCCCCCCGCCAAACAGAGAGGCTAATAACGGGTACAACCCCCCCCCCCCCCCCCCCCACACACACACACACACACTCACTTCATGGTGGCAGTCGTTCCGCCAGTAAACGACCGGCTCCCCGCGCCAAACGCGGTCGTGGCTTTCACCGTTGAGTAGCTCGTAACGGCGTACGTATTAACGGGGACGGGCGAGCCGCCCTGGTTTGCGATGACCGCGTCTGACGTCACCATGCCGCCGGACTTGGAAAACGCGACGCTAAACCAGCCGGTAGCGGCGGCCCCGGTAGCGGTTACTGCGAGCTCTAGGAGCGACCCGGTCGCCACTTTCCAATGGAGCCTCATGCTGCGGGGGGGAGAGCGACGGGGGAAAACGCGGGGAGGGGGGAGATGGGAGGGGGAACGCGACGCTGAACCAGCCGGCGAGCTCTAGGAGGGACCCGGTCGTCGCTTTCCAATGGAGCTTCATGCTGGGGAGATTGGTGGGGGGGGGGGGAGGGGGGAGTAGGGGAAGCGGATGGGAAAGAGAGGGGAGCGGAAAGGCGCGACGCTGAATTGGCATCGTGAAATTTCAGATTTTGACATCTTGGAACGCTTTAGAAGTGTCCCTTTAGCGTTTCTAACTTGCTAAGTTGTCTCGGAAATCCAACATTATCACTCCGGAAACCTAGCCGGTAGAAAGAGGCTAAGTACTTTGACCCGAAGGCGACAGCCTTTTGAGGCGACCCAGAAATAGTATGAAAATAATAACAGTAAAAGAATGCGCCACAAAAGCCGGTAGAAAGAGGCGTACTTTGACCCGAGGGCGACTGACGACGTGAATCCCGCGAGCGACGACGGCGAGCACGTCGCCAGCGGTGTAACCAAATTCACCAGCACACGCCCGCGATCACGGGATTCGCCAAAGTTTTCGCCATCACTAATTTCCCCTTCGCCATCATTATGGGACGTCGCGGCTTTCGTCGCGACTGCGCTCGATGAAAATACTAGTACTAGTAGGAGCACGGCCGTCGTTTGCAGACGACCGAGTCGGGGGGGAAGATTCGTCGCTGACGCGGGAGCCATCGGCCTATTATTCGCGAGAGCTTCTGGTAGCCGTTGTGACTCGCTGACGGAACGCTTCGGTCGACGTGACGGAGCGGTTCGAGCGGAAGGGACGGAACGGATTGTGGGGGTGACGGAGGGGGACGGAGCGGCACGACTGGAGGGGAGCGAGCGGCGATCGAAATGGACGGAGCGGAGCGTTTGATGGACGCACTAAGTGGCTGTGGTGTTCACCATCCGTACTATTAGTAGTGCGTTAATATAACAGTAATTACTGCAAACAGGGAAAACCAACTGACCTAAAATGTCTAGTGACCAACCGACTGAGGAAAATGACGGAGCAATGGTGTGCGACTTTGCACGACGCGTCGTCGCGAATGATTTGCGACGGTGCTGCTTTCCGCAGTCAGGTCTACTCAGTTCACTCTTCGTGGCTCGGGACGGTTCCGTGCGGTGAAAGTGGCATCTAAGATTCACCGTTTGAAAATGTTATAAACCATTCTAGAACGTTCATAAACTGTACCCGTGACTTGCAAGCTTTATGAAATACCCTCTGCAGGAGGAGAAGGTTCAACCAACCAACCACCGACCATGTGGCGAGCGCGTGCTCCCTCCCTCCCTCCTCCCCCTCCCTCCTGTACTGTACCGCCAGAAGGAAATTCGCTGCAACGCCAGACGTGCACGCGCATCGAACAGTGGAGGCAGCAGAACTCCATCGAATCGCCCACACTCATTCCAGCTGTCATTTCTGTGCAGAGAAGAAGAAGAGCACGTGGCTGGGCCCAAGCCACACACGATTACTGCGAGAACCTCCCTTCGCATGCTTCGCTATGGTGTACGTCTCGGCCTGTGTCGCCAACACCTTTCAACATGTGCGAGTGTAGCGAATCCTTACTTATAAATCAACATCTCTGTATGCAATTTGCTCTGGTTTTGATGCATAATCGTCCAAAGTCATTATGGTTGGGTCTTGCAATCCATTGAAATTGCATTCAATATCGTGATTCTTAAACACCATCCGCAGCAGACAGAGGCCACTGAGGGTGGTTAAGAATCACCCTATCTCAACTCGCCCGCACTGCACCACCCACATAACCAATCACCAGCACCCGGATCCCCTCAAATGGTGCAACATCCACGAAGCCCCATAATACCACTGCCTCTAAAATCAGCATTTCCGTAAGATATGGCCCCGATGGATACACCACACTAGGATCCCTTCTCATTGAAATGCTTCTTTGCATGCTCCCATCCCTTCACATTATTCTAAGCCCTTTGGGAATGCTTTTGGCTCTTGCCCTTGCTTCGGCCCTTGCCATTGCCTCGCCCGTTGTCGTTGCCTCGCCCTTTGCCGTTGCCTTGCCCCTTGCCCTTGTCATTGTGATCACCACCCTTCTTGTTATCATCATCGTCGTCGTCGTCATCATGACCCCTCCCTCCGCCACCACTCCCCCCTCCAGACGATGCAGTCTTGCAAGAGAAGTCTACAGTAGTGCGACCACTGTGAAACGAAAGGTTAGGAGAATGGGGGGGGTGCAGGGGAAGAGAAGGAGAAGGAAACAGAAGGTTAGAAGGGTAGAGGAGGATACGGAAGGATAGAAAAGGATACAGAAGGGATGAAAAGGTGGTGCCGAGGAAAATTGCAGCACGGCATCACACATCTCGCAACACTCAGTATGAGCCATCAGTCACTATAAGCCATCACTTTATACGGAGTATCCCACAACACTCTTGATGCGCCAACGTGGAAATGCAGGCGGTTGGCGCCTGACAGCAACTGACAACCTTAAGAACCCTAAATTATACCCCTTATAAACAGCCCCAGCACACTCACTATGCGCCGCCGTGGAAGCCGAGGCTCTTAGATCCCGAGGGGGAGTAGGCCCACAGCAGGCTGTTGCTCCCCGCCACTTGCACCTTTGCTGCCGAACCTGTGCCCTGGGTTCGGGAGAACCTGAAAGAGAGGAGGTAGAGCAGGAGAGGAGGGAGGGATGGGCAGAAGAAAGATGGACATGTGAGCAGTTGAAGGGGAGATTGTGCAGTGTGCGTGGGAGGTGTACAGGAGATGTGTAGAAAGACACCCCATTTCTTATTACAGTTAAAGAGAGAGAGAGAGAGAGAGAGAGAGAGAGAGAGAGAGAGAGAGAGAGAGAGAGAGAGAGAGAGAGAGAGAGAGAGAGAGAAAGGAAAAAAAAAGGCAAGCACTCACTTGACCACTGTTGACCCGGAAGCAGTGGTGGTGGTGTTGGCAGTTCCGATGGAAAAAGCAGTGGTGCGCTGAATCGAGCCCATGGAGTATCCACCGATCTTATACGCCGCCACTCCGCCGCCTGCCATGTTGCCAAAGACCGCGTCAGAAGGAGCCATCTTGCCGCCCTTGGCCCATGCGAGGGCGATCCAGCCAGCCTTGGCCGGAGCGGCAGTGGCTTCGATGGCTAGATCGAGCTGGGAAGCTGAAGCTGCTTTCCAGTGGAGCAGCAGGCTGTAGAAGGGGCAGGGGAGGAGAGAGGAGGGCAGAGAGGGAGGCCTGTTAGGACAGCGTTGAAAGGGGTCAAACACTCAGCCGCCTGTCATGTTGCCAAAGACGGCGTCAGAAGGAGCCATCTCGCCGCCCTTGGTCCATGGGCGGGGCGGCTGTGGCTTCGATGGCTAGATCGAGCTGCGAGGCAGAAGGTGCTTTCCAGTGAAGCAGCAGGCTGAGGGGATTGGGGGAGGGGGAGCGGGAGAGCAAGAAGGGGAAGGGGGAGTATGGTACTTTCAGCAAGTATGTTTGGTATATCCGGGTAGAGGGTACGCGGGGCAGTTGAAAGTGTGGAGGGGGAAGAGGTGAGAGGAATGCCAAGGGGGGGTTGAGACGTCTCAAAACAGGAGAATCAGGAATGCCAAGGGGTTTTTGAGACGTCTCAAAACAAGAGAATCATGAATGCCAAGGGGGGTACATGCATGCTTTTCCTGAGCCGAGTCTGATAGGTGTAGCCGGGTAGAGTGGAAACATGTCAAGACTCAGATGTTTCCATGTTGAGACCCCCATGTTGGACATCTGAGACGTCTCAAAACAAGCAAGTATGGACGATGGAACTACTCACGTGCTGCCCTTGAGCTGAGTCTGGTAGGTGTATCCGGGGAGGGTGGACGCGGGGCAGTTGGAGCCTCCCCCAGAAGACGACGGCGGAGGGGGAGGAGCAGAGGTGGATGGCGGAGGAGGGGCGGAGGTGGAGGGCGGAGGGGTGGAGGTGGCGGGCGGAGGGGGCGCGGGGGTGGCGGAAGCAGAGGCGTCACAGGAGAAGTCCACGTCAGCACTGCCACTGCGATTGGGGAGAATTGGGGAAGGAAGCGAAGGGAAGAGGGGGGAAGCGGGGGGGAGAGGGGGGAAAGGGAGGGGCGGATCGGGGGAAAGGGAGGACGAAGGGGAGAGACGATGTGAGATAACGGGAAGGTGCCAGGGTGTCAGAAATCCACGTCAGCTCAGACACGTGCTAGTGGCTGTTTGACACGTGACACGTCTAATGACGAACTAGTACTAGTAGCACTCACTAGTGGCCGTTGTGGTAGGCGACCGTCTTAGAGCCACTGGCGGAGAAGGCCCAGATGAGCGAGTTGACTCCTGCCACGTCCACAGCCACAGCCGAGCCGTCACCTGTAGACCGGGTGAACCTGGTGGGGGAGAGGAGAGGGTAGTGGAGCAGGGAAGGGAGGGTGCGGAGGGAAGTCAGTACTAGGAGAAGGCCCAGATGAGCGAATCGACGCCTGCCACGTCCACAGCCACAGCCGAACCGTCGCGGGCTGACCTCGTGAACCTGGGGCAAGGGGGGGAGTGAGGGGAATGAGAATGGAGAATTTGAGATGGGGATAGAGAGGGTTAAATGAACAACTCACTCTGCAAAGTCGACGCGATAATATTCTGGAGATGTGCAAAATCTTCATCATCAACCCAGCAAGTCGACGCGAAAGTCACACGAATCATAAATATACAACTTGAAGCAGGGCTTGGCAACGTGATACTCACGTGGCGGTGGTCGTCGTCGTTCCCGCTGTCAGCGAGACGCTTCCCGGAGTGAACGCGCTCGTCGCCGCGACGTTGCTCGTCGCGTACCCCGTGATCCTGTACGCTTTAATAGCCGGCGTCGTCGCAAGGTTGCACATCACCGCATCCGCCGGCGCCATCGCGCCGGGCGACGACGCCCACGCCACGGCGAACCACCCCGTCCCCGCGCCGCTGGCCCGCGTCGCCTCGACGGCCAGCTGGATCGTCGACGTGGCGGTTACCGCCCAATGCAGGCGGAGACTGCCACATGGAGGAGATGGGGGGAAAAGAGTGAGGTGGGAGGGGCAAAAAAGTGGAAAGAGGCGGAAAGAGGGAAGATGGCGGGGGAGAGAGGGGAGTATGGGGGATGGGGAGGAAGGTAATGCTGAAACGCTGGAAAAGCCTCGTGATAAAAAAAAAACAACAACAACAACAACAAAAGTGGAGACGTCTCAAAAATCAACCGCATCGAATGGGCGAGGAAGGTAATGCTGAAACGCTGGAGTAATGAATGGTCGAGCTGCAGAGTCGCCTGGTTTCGACTCGAAACCCACGTTACTACTCGGAGTAACACGCGTGACTTAAGTCACTTGCATTTTCCTGATCGGATCAGGATCAGGGGGGAGCACTGATTGGGTTGGGAGACGTATTCGTGGCAAATCGTGGTGACAGCATCGGTTTGCGTAAGAATCGCGCGACGATCTTACCCGCTCGCGAGCGCGATCGACGACGTGTAACCCGACAGAGACGACGGGTCGCAAGTGCCAGTCGCAGCGGGTTTGACGCTACTTGTAGCAGACGTCGTCGTAGGCTGCGCGGTTTGAGTTCCCGCACGCAGCGACGAGAACAGCTGCGACACGGCGGACGCGACATTCCATCCCCAGCCCGATCCTGCTGGTTGCGCCGCCAGCGCGTTTTGCGGCAGAATCAGCGCGGCAAAAACCAGCGCTAAGAGGGGGAGCAAGCGTGTTGCGAGCGGGCGATAAGTGGTCCTTCGTAACGGTTGGTGCGAGCAGCGTCGCGGAAAATGCGGAGCCATCGTTGAAAAAATACGTGATTAGGCTTGAAAGAAGCTGACGGCGGAATATGCGACGGCGAAGAAGATTAATGGCTGAGAAACACGCGCGGAAATGGCGATGGGTGCGGATGGATGGGCGGCGGGTGATTGGCGGTGGATTGTCGCTCCGCTCTGATTGACTCTCTCTCTCGCAAGCAGGAACAGCTGTCGAAGCCAGGTGTTGAAGCGGGGATAGAAAAGAAACCCCGATTCAGCTTGCTCTTCTACTAGCCAGATAATTCGTTCGGAATTCCATTCGGAAGTGCAATGGGGAAGAATGAGAGAAGGGGAAACTGATGCGGGAGTGGGGGGACAGAGTGGTGAGGGGGGAAGATCAAGTCGGGGAGAGCAGGGAAGAAAGGGGGATGTAGGGGGGAAAGGGGGATTTGGGCGCGACGCGACGCGATTGGGGAGTGGTGTCGGTGGCGCGGAAATTCAGATGGCGCGTGTCGCGCAGTTCCGTTCCCATCCATTCATTGCAAACGTGGCTTGCCAGGGAAGCCAGGGAAAAAGCACGGGCTGCCGCCAAGGGCATGAAGAAGGAAGAAATATCGGTTCCGTGAACACTCAAACTGCGATCTGTATGGTATCCAAGTACCTTTTCAAGGTTTTAGAAGCAAATGTTTGACCAGTACACTATATTATTCTCATTAGAGGGCTGACCAGAACGTTGAGAAACTGCACCAAGTTTCAACGCGGAAATGACATTTGCGGTTGGTGTTTCGGTGGGTTTGGCGGGGGGAGGGCACGGGGGAGGCACCACCAGTGTTTTTGGCTGTTGTTAGTTACGTCGGTGGTGCTCGCTCAACTACACATATTGACTGCCAAGTTCACCAATCACAAGGCAGTTACATCACGAATTCGTTGACGGCAGTCAACATGACAGGGCTGGCCCAGCGGTAGGGGAAATGGTGCACACCGACCACGAGATTTCCACGAGCCAAGACGAGGCTGGAGTGGAGAGAGGGGTCTTGCTCCAGCGGTCAACAATATTCATACAGTACAGGACACGAAATAGTGCGTGGCGAACACAGAAAAAGAGTGTGTCGGAGCAATTTGGGACAAGGGAGGTCGGTCACAACGAAGTGTGAAGTGTAGAAAACGAGAACAAAATTCACTTACTACATCCGACAGTCTAAGGCTCATCTTTATCCTCAAAGACAACTTTAACATTATATGTATCATCATTCATATTGAATGATCAGAGTGACTAACTAGAAAACAAATCCTTCCATTGTCCTCATGCACATTCATATTTAGTGTAACCTCAATAATAAATTGTCAGTGGATGCTAATTGTACCTCCGTTTGAAATGAATTATTTGGGTTGAAATTGATTTTTAAACCCATTATTAACAAAACAAAAACGAGCTGTAAGTTGCTTCATGGGTACACTAGTTTTTTAGATCTCGATCAGTCCACTGTAGTGCGGTACTCAATGTGGATCAGTGCACCATAGTGCGGAAGTCAATGTCGACAGCCTGGTACGCAAAGCAAGCTAAACCGTACATTCATCCATCCCAGCTTCCGGTGTCAGTTCGGAACGGGGTTTGGTTGGAAAGGCGGCGCACGCTCGGAGAACGTATCCCATGCCATCCCTGCCCGTGACGAGAAAAACTCACAGAAGCAGTGGTACACTACTTGGCTTCATTCACCAGCATCCTCCAATTGCTAATGCGAGACTAAGGGTAATTCCTAGCTCGTGTCTGACATCAGGTCATAGGCCCTTAGTCTCTGATTTGCCTCTTCTGAATGTTGTTTTGCCCCTATTCCGAGCCACTTCGGGTCTTCCGGCCCTCCACTTCGTGTTTGACCTGATGTCAAACACGAGCTACGAATACACCCTAAGATGTCTGGGCGAACCCAAGCTGGGCACCACACCTTTTTTTTATCAAAACAAAAGTTTTTAAGCTGGTTACTGCCGAACCACCTGCACGCTTGACGCATGAGGTATGGCACTTTTCCCTGCAAATCACCAATTGCAAATCACCAACTTATGCAGGGTGTGATTTCCGAACCTTGAGGCACTGGTTCAATTGAACAGTGGAGCACCGCGGGTGATTGAGCTTGGTGTTTGGCTGTGCTCCAAGCCTCCATGAACGAACCGAACTCCAACCCAAGCCTGAAGGCGCTAACTCAAGTGAACAGTGCTACCCTGTGCACCAAGGTCTGGGGGACAAGTTCCAGCGCGGCGCGCCACCGCTGCAAATCGGGGGTCCATTTGCCCAGCAGTGTCCCATTACCCATCCAGGTGCATCTGCCGCGCCGCGCTTGTCCTTTACTCAATCCACGCTGTCGCAATAGCTTCCGCGTAGCCTTCCGTTCCGACCAGTGGGAGAAGCCAAAAATGTCAAACCTGGCGCCCCATTTCCCCCCGGCCTTTTCCTTTCCCCCCTACGCCCCCAGCCTCCTCCACCCATTCATCCACCGCCCCGCGCGCAACATCAAACCACGCTTTCCCCATTTTTTACCCTCTGACCTGGGGGGAAGCGGGAGTTGGGGGGCACGCCGACAGACGGATTCCCGTCCCCTTTCCTCCCCCCCGCCCCCACCCAGTGCCTCCCGCGCGTTGCGCACACAGCAATTTTTTTCGCGCGCCTCCTCTCCATTTTGCCTTCCTCCCTCCGACCCATCCCTTTCCACTTCCCTTTCCGCCCCTCTTACCACTCGTCGAGTATTTCACGAGCACGACTCCAACCCGACAACACAGCAAGTCTTGGTTCCACACACACGCCTACTACTTCTCTTGTGAACTAATAAGCTTAGTCCTTTGTGGTGCTCTTCCCAACAACGTTTCAGTGGAGTCGCGTCGCGAGTTCTCTTCAACGGCTCGACCATCTCAGATCTGACGGCCCGAAGCGGTCAAATCTGACGACGTTGGAGGCCGCCTGTAATCAAGATCAGGATCGAAGCTGCGTCTGTTCGGCAATCTGACATTCCTTTCTCCGACGAGTCGGTCCTTCCAAGCGCTACCCCGATGACCTGCCGAAGTTCGCGCGGCGCGCTCGCCGCCCCCGCCGCCACTGAACCACGCGCGGACACGCGTCGCCGCTCAGGCGGAAGCGCTCGCCGCAAGCGCGGCTCCCGCAGATCCGCGGCGTTCCTGGTGCTCCCAATCCTGCTCCTCCTCGTTCTCCTCCCGACAGTCGCGGCGCAGCTGACGTGGGGGGGTTTGTTCCAAGGAATAGTCGACTGGGCTAAAGGTTTCTTTAAGGGGGATGGCGACGACGACGATGGCGGGTCGTCGTCCTCGTCTTGTACCGCGTCGTCTCTTGCCGGATACACGTCATCAGTCAGCCTCGGAAGCGCGTGAGTGCAAAACTTGGTGATTTCTCCCAATGCGCTGCAGAGTGGAGTTTCCTCTTAGTGCAAATGCCACCACCATTATATGAAACGTCATCTTAGCGCTATACTCGGTCTTTCACCTTCTTTTCTTTTGTTTTCGTTTCTTTCCTTTTTCCCTTTTTCCCTTTTGCGTGTTCATTCATTGTGTACCTAAAATCGTTTTCCAAGTCGGTGCCCCTCAGCTGCCTAAGTTGTCGTTTCACTCAACCACCACCCGGTTCCCTCCTTTTTTCCTTTCCCATCCATCCCCGTTACAGTCTCACTCTACATTGGACCGTGCCCGCTGGCGGCGCGAAGGTAAAGTTCGCTCTGGAGGCGGACGGCGGCTCGAACGCCGCCAGCGGCTGGATGTCCGTCGGATTTTCATCGGACGGTGATATGGTGCCCGCCGACGCTGTGATCGGGAATACGGGCGGCACGGGGGTGTACGCGTATCGTATCTCGGGATACGATCGATCCGACGTGGCGCGAACCACTTCGTTCACGATCTACGCGCCGGGGTTAACTACCACGTCAGCGAAGACGATAATGACGTAAGCATTCCATCGTTTTGAGCCGTTTCCCCTTTTTAATCGCTCGCTCGCTCTCGCTCTTTCTCGCTCTCGCTCTTTCTCGCTCTACCTCTCCCAATCTCTCTCTATCTCTCTCTATCAATTCCTGCTTCCAGTGAGTTATGTTTTCCTTTTTTTCCCTCCTTCCTATCCTCCGCCCCTTCCCCTTCTCTCTCCCGCCGCCCCTTCCCCTCCTACGTCCGCCGATCCTTCCGCGCAGCTTCACTCGGTCCACGTCAGACGGGAGTGTGAGCGTCAACCCGACCGGCTCGAACAAGCTCATCTGGGCCTTCTCCTCCTCGGGCTCCAAGACCCTCGCCTACCATGGCGGCAAGTAGTAAGCTCCCACTGCGGCAAGTAGCAAGCTGCTCTATTGCACAGTACTCTGTCTCTCCAGGTAGGTATGGCCGCAGCAGCAGTGAGTGAGTGAGCGTCAACCCGACCGGCTCCAACAAGCTCATCTGGGCCTTCTCCTCCTCGGGCTCCAAGACCTTAGCTTACCATGGCGGCAAATAGTAAGCTGCATTTTCCTTATTTACGCCAGAATACTCTGTCTCTCCAGGTAGGTATGACCACAGCAGTGGGAGCGTGAGCGTCAACCCGAGTGAGTGGCTTGAACAAGCTCATCTGGGCTTCTCCTCCTCGGGCTCCAAGACCCTCGCCTACCATGGCGGCAAATAGTAAGCTCCCTCCCTCCCTCCCTCCCTCCCTCCCTCCCTCCCTCCCTCCTTCCCTTCATAACTCCCTCCCTCCTAAACCCTCTATCCCTCACACGGATTGGTACAGTCGCATCCCCTCTCCTCTAATCTCCCCCTCTCCCAGTCCCCTCTCACCTCCCCGTTATGCCAGCGGAAGAACCGCCCTTGACTTCGCGTGCTCCTTTTGAGTCATTGAGAATTCTAAATAGCCCCTTTTCCCTCTCCCCCCTTACCCTCTCACCTCCCCGTTTTTCCAGCGGAAGAACCACAGATGACTTTTCATGCTCCCACGTCATTAGAGGCACCTCAAAAGTCTCTCTCCTTCCCCTTCCCCCCGTTCCGTCCCCCCCGTTCCCTTTCACCTCCTCCCTTTGTCAGCGGAAGAACCACCGTTGACTTCTCGTGCTCCTCCACGTCATCCGGCTCGGGATCAGGCTCGGGGTCTGGTTCGGGGTCTGGTTCGGGATCAGGCTCGACGGGCAACGCCTGCGCCAAGTCGACCCTGACTGGATACTCCTACCAAACGCCGTTGAACGGCAACAGGTGTGTGAAGCGGTGGAGAGGGTTTGGTTAATGGTAGGGAGGTGCGTGAAGGTGTGGAAAGGTGCGTGCGGCGGTGAAATACATGCGTCTACCTATTTTAGGTGGCTGAATGGGGCCAGGTGTGTGAAGAGGTGTGGAGATGTGTAATGCGGTGATGATGTTTTCCTTGGCCGAACAAGGAGCGCACCACCAATGGTGCAGTGACAATAGCAGTAGAAGCCAAGTCAGGAGCAGCCAAATCCGGATGGGTGTCCCTCGCCTGGACCAAGAACGGCAAGACGGCTACTGCTGGCGCTGTTTCACCTCTCCCCCTGCCCTTCCCTCCCCATCCCAGCCTGCTTCTGCATTGGAATAAGGCGCGTGCCAACGGAGCAGTGACAATGGCAGTAGAGGCCAAGTCAGGAGCAGCCAAGTCCGGATGGCTGTCCCTCGCCTGGACCAAGAGCGGCAAGATGGCTCCTGCTGACGCTGTTTTCGGGAATTTAGCGGGCGGCAAAGTGGGCGCGTACGAGATCAATGGGTACACTGTATCCTCGATACAGCCCGCCTCGTTTTGGATCGGGCAGACCCCGCAAACGGTCACTTCAGCCTCTAGGTCAACTGTGGTCAACTGTGGTCAACTGTGGTCAGCTGTGGTCAAGTGAGTGAGGAAGAGTGTGAGGGAGTGCGGTCGGGGGAGGTGAAGCAAGGGAGTGTGGAAGATCGAGGGGAGTGTGGGGGGGATATGGAAAAGTGCAGAAGTGTGGTGGAGTATGGGAGAGTGTATATGTGTTGAAATGGATTTTTTTTTTATTTGCCTTCCTCTTTACCCTTCCCCCTCCGTCCCCTCCATCCCTCCCCCTTTCACCCCCAACCAAATGCTCTCTCTCCTCTTTCCTGCCATGGAATAAAAACAGCCTCCACCTGTTTTCCCCCTTTTCCGCTCTCCTGTTTTTCCCCTTGCTCACTGTTCACGCCACTCCTCCCACCACTTCCCACCGTTCATCCCCCTTGGTTGTCCTCACCCCCTCAGGTTCTCTCGCAAGCATGCCACGGGAGCAGTGTCGTGCTTCCTGGCTTATAACAAGAACAGCCTCATGTGGGCCTACTCCCCCTCCCTTCCACCGCACCCAACCGCTCCCCACCTCACTGCACCATACTCGCTTTCCCTCCTCTCTGCCCCACCCCCTCAGGTTCTCTCGCAAGCATTCTACGGGATCAGTGTCGCGCTTCCTGGCATACAACAAGAACACCCTGTGGGCCTACTCGCCCCCCCCCCTCCACCGCACTCAACCAATCCCCACCTCTCCTTGTTCTCTCAGGTTCGCTCGCAAGCATTCCACTGGGTCTGTCTCGCGCTTCCTGGCTTATAACAAGAACAGCCTCATGTGGGCCTACTCCCCCTCGGGCTCTAAGAGCATGGCCTACCATGGCGGCGCATAGTGAGTATCAAGGTTGCTTGTAAGGAGTATGTATGGTTGTGTTACAGAGGGTACGAATGGTGGTTGTTTGCAACAAAAGCACACTCATGCGGGCCTATTCCCCTTCGGCCTCCAAGAGCCGGGGCCACCACAGCGGCGCATAGTGAGTGTTTCAATGTGGTTGCTTATAGAGGGTATGAGTGGCAGTGGTTTGCAACAAAAACACACTTTCTTGGGCCTATTCCCCTTCCAACGAAATACCCGAAGTCTAACCTGATTTTTCTGCTCCTTTTTCCTGCTTGCCCGGCTCTCCAGTGGACGAATCACCGTGGACTTCTCTTGCAAGACTGCTGCTACTGGTGGGGGCAAAGGAGGGGGTGATGATGACGATGACGATGGTGTTTATCTTTTTTCCCTCTTCCTCTTTCTTGCGCCCCCTAATCCTTTTCCCTGTTTCTGCAGTGGACGAATCACCGTGGACTTCTCTTGCAAGACTGCTGCTACTGGTGGGGGCAAAGGAGGGGGTGATGATGACGACGATGACGACGATGACGATGACGATGACCATGACAGGAACCGCCGCGGTCGCGAGCGCCACCGCCGCTGGCACCAGGGGTAGACAGCACAGCACACATTTGATCCCCCAAGACTGCTGCTGGTGGTGGTGGAAAGGGAGGGGCTGAGGATGATCGTGATCATGACAGAAGCCGTCGCAATCGCGAGCGCCATCGCTGCTGGCACCAGGGGTAGGAGTGACGGTGGGGGCAAAGAGAGGGCGACAACGACAACGATGATGATGATCGTGATCATGACAGGAGGAATACATTGCAGCTGGCATCTGGGTTAGTATAAGCCACAGAAGAGGACTGACAGAAGTGTCGGTAGTACTGTGGATTTACGAGTATGGGTTTCCAGGATACGGAAATAAATGTCTCGGGAGCTGGTGGTGGTGCTGGCGAGGGGGTGAAGTACCTTCATTCTTATAGTTTTCGGGACATCAGATGTAGTGCACAAGGTGTACAACGTGGGGTTGTGAATTTGAGCACATGGTGATGGCATGGGAGTTGATATGGTACACACATCGTGCACCTTGCCATTGCCAGTAGTGGCTTTAGAGATTTGTGAATTGCTTGGTTGCCTTCTTGGCAGCTGCTCATGTAGTATGTCTTTATGTGCTATAATGATAATATTGAGAAAGCTTGCTTTCTTGTCCTTATAATTTGGCATCGTTCTCATTGCAACTGGCTTATTACAACATATGCATCGTTCTTAAACACATGCTAGTACATGCAAATATTACTAGCTATGGAGTCGTCCGTCCAAGCAGCTGTGGTCTTGTAGTTGGTCCGGGGTGGGTGGTGGGGATGTTGATTGAGCCGTTGGAAAACGAGAAACGTGGGTGGAGGGAATGAACTCCAACCCACGGTTTTTGTAGTTGGAGAAGGGCGTTTAGCGCGCTTCGACGCTGCCAAATATTCGGTACAGGCAGCTTCGCTTTCACAATACACAATTTTGAAAAACATCAGTGTGTTTAAAAATTATAATATTGAGAAAGCTTGCTTTCTTGTCCTTATAATTTGGCATCGTTCTCATTGCAACTGGGGCCTCTGAGACATGGGCAGCGGTGGCTTCCGGTTGCGTAAGAGTGCCTCTGCGTGCTGTTCTGGGGGCAGTGCGTGTGTCGGGTCCTGTAGGTCGCGGGATGCCTTGATAAGATGTCCGACGTGTGGGGTGACGTACATCTCTTTGGCTGTGTCACTTCGCCACCTGCCCATCCTTTTGAAGATCCTGTCCGGCACGCCGATGTTGGCTGCTACAGTTGCCGCGCCCTTTCGGAAGGAGTGCGTGCCGAGCTGCTGCTCCCCAAGTCCAACCTTTGCGAATGCTTCTTTACACCAGTTCCGGATCGTTGTGTACGAGGGTGGCTTGGCCGGACCCTTGTTGGCTGAAGCGTGGCCAAAAACGCGAATCAGCGACCCCTCTGAATGCGGGCCATAGCCAGCGAGTTGGAGGAAGCGTTGGGTGCAGCGCACGGGGCAACAGGGGTCCGTCGTTGCTGCGATGGGAATCCAAGTTCCACGACCAGCCTGGTCCGTTTTTGAGTGTGGGATGAGGATCCACATGACTTCGTCGTCGAATTGGATGTCTTGCCACTGGATGGCAACCAGGTCGGAGTATCGCAAAAATCCGGAGTACATGAGGATAGGGATCAATCCCTTCTGAAATTCAGCAGGATTGTCCGACTGCAAGTAGTTCGCGGACATGCCCCGAACTTGTTGGATTGATACGGGCTCCTTCATTCGACTAGGGCGAGGGCAGTGTCGTTTCGCGTAGTCCCGCACTTGGGTGGTAAACGGTCCGACAGTCGGGCATTTGCTTCCAGTCATGCGATGGGCGAAGCTGACTGCCGAGCACGTGAGCTGCACTACAGACAAGGTTGCTCTTCGTTGGATTGCATGCACCAAGTATAGCGCGAGGGCCATGTCGGATGCGGGAAGAAATGGAAGATCCACCTTTGTGCAGAAGGCACGAAACTTGGCCCAGTACGGTTCGTATGTACGGATCGTTGAATTTGCTCGCGATTGTGTGAGCATGTTGATGAGTTGGTTGTGTAGCTTTGGGAGCAGATCTGGACACAAGGCGCGTACACTCTCAATTAGTCAAAAACCACCCGAAGTGCGATTATTGGGCTGTGTGGTAATCCAGTGCCTGAAAAAGCAGCGGAATGTGTTCCAGCTGCCAGACATTGGCTGCCGTGTGTCAAAGGAATGTGCGCGTGGATGTACGGTGCCCAGTTGCGTGGGGAAGGTTGTAGGAGTGGCCACCAGTTTGCACCCGGCCAGTGTGGGATGATCAGTGTGAGCGACGCATGGGTGCGCTGTGCGTGATGGAGGACGCCGGTACTAAATGGGGCGGGGGGAAAGCAAAGCTATTTTCTGATGTCCATGCGAGTGAGAATGCATCTACTGCGGTGGCTTGTGGATGAGGAATTTTCGTGCAGAAGCATGGCAGCTGAGAGTTGCGGGAGTTTGCAAAGAGGTCGATGGAATGGGGACCCCAACGTCGTTCTAAGATGCGGAACCACGGCGTCTTCAACGAGTAGTGTTAGAATGTAGAACTGAACGAGAATGTGTGAAACTAGGCAGCAGGGTGATACAAGTAGGAAACCCTAGCAATGTTGTACCCCCTAAGGCTAAACCCACTATAGCCTACACAATATGAACATGTATAATGTTTGACACACCCCCATAGGCTAAGTGGGAGACAACCAGATGGTCACAAGACCAGTCAAAGCAAAGCAAAGCAAGCTCAGGGTGGATCTCAAGGAAACCACACAAATTCCGAGCACAAGCAAGTGGTCACAAGACCAGTTCACATGCAGTTTGATAATATAACAAGAGGTACAGTGATCACAACCTAACAAGAGTAAACATGCAGGTATATATATATAGAGATCACAGTACAAGCAGAGTCAAGAAGTGAGCAAGTGAGGGAGAGTAGGCACAAGGCCTAGAACAGTACAGAAACGCTGATGGTCACAAGGCTGAAGCGCCTTGGTGAACACATCAGCAGTGTTGGCCCGAGTGGCCACGTAACGCAGACGAAGCTGACCACGCTGCTGCAGCTCTCGAGCAAGGAAGTAGCGCAGAGCGATGTGCTTCGTCCTGTGCTCCAGTCTGTGCTCCTCACACAAGGCAATGGCGGCCTTGTTGTCAACGTACAGCACTGGAGGAGAACGAGGCCGCTCTCCCAGGTCGGTCAGCAGGTAGGTGAGCCAGCGTAACTCCTGTGCAGCCATGGCTGTGGCGTAGATCTCAGCCTCACAACTGGAGCTGAGAACAGAAGAAGAGCGAGTAGAACGCCAAGAAACTGAACCAGAGCCAAGGCTGAAGGTGTAACCCTGAGACGACCGCTGCGTAGCCTGGTCGTCAGCCCAAGAAGCGTCTGAGTGACCCGTGAGGACAACGTCGCTCCGACCTCCAAGCACGAGCCCCATGCCCGACGTACTGCACAAGTAGCGCAACACCCTCTTAGCGGCATCCATGTGCTCCTTCCGGTGACGGCCGGGAGCGACATAGCGTGCTAGGATGCTAAGAGGGTATGCCAGGTCAGGTCGAGTGCAGGTCATCAGGTACATGAGGCAGCCCACAAGCTCTGGATACGGGCCACTCGGCTCTACGGACTCATCCGAAGGCAGAGCTGAGAGCGAGTGACCGGTAGGCAGAGGAGTGGGCTGAGGCGAGGAGTACGTGAAGCGGAAGCGCTGAAGGACCTGCTGCACCATGTGTGACTGAGTCAAGGTGATGGTGCGCTGTGCTCTGTCCCGGGTGATCCGCAAGCCAAGATAGCTTGTCAGCTCACCCAGGTCTGTGCACGTGTGTCTCTTCTGCAGCTCCGACTTCACGTGGGCGAGTGCCTCAGTGTCAGCAGTAGCAAAGACCAAGTCGTCTACGTAAACAAGAACGTAGAACAGCGGCAGAGTGGTGTCGGTGCGTAGAAACAGCGACGGGTCAGCAGTAGAAGGAGCAAACCCAAGAGCAGCAAGAGTAGTCCTCAGTGTGTCGTGCCACTCACGGGGTGCCTGGCGGAGACCGTAGACTGGCCGCCGGAGGCTCCACTGGGTACCAGGAGGGAACGACCCAGTGAAGCCAGGTGGGCGGCGCAGCCAGATCTCCTCGTGCAGGCTGCCCTGTAAGAACGCAGTGCTGAAGTCAAGAGAGTGGAGCTCGTAGTCACGCTGAGCAGCGACGTGCAGCAGAACCCGAAGAGTGGTCATCTTCGGGGTCGGGGAGAAGGTCTGGAAGAAGTCAACTCCCTCTCGCTGACTGAAGCCTCGTGCAACGTAACGCGCCTTGAAGACAGGCGGAGAACCCGGCGGCCGCTTCACCCTGAAAATCCACATGCCACTGACGATGTTCGCCCCAGGTGGGGGAACCTCGTCAACGTAGGTGCCTGTGGACTTCCAGGATGCCATCTCTGCGTCCATGGCTGTCTGCCACTGAGAGGAGTAGGGACCCTCCATCGCCTCTGCGTAGGAGCGTGGGGTCGGGATGTCTGGTGCATCCGTGTCTCCCTCAGGGGCAACTAGCATGGACACGAGATGAGGCAAAGCAGCGGCAAAGCACTCAAACTCCTCCTGTCTGTCCTCAAGGACGTCCGTGCCAAGAGCACACTCACCCCCGACAGACGGAGGACAGACAGACTCAGACTCAGACTCAGCAACAAGGCTAGCGGCGTAGTCTAGACGACAGGCAGCAGCAAAGTCAACAAGCTCAGCGACTAGAGCAGATGCAGCAGAGGACTCAAAGGAAGGGTCAGTGACAGCAGTGGCAAGGAGACGCGTGACAGTAGGACTGGCAGCACGAAGAGAGTCAGACTCCGGGTCAGCAAGAGCAGGAAGAGAGGACGCTGGTGGAGACGACAGCGCGGACAGCGCGGACAGGCGACTCTGGACGCGTCTCAGGCGACGGAGGACGAGACTCAGGCTCACGACGCTCCGTAAGACCTCCCGTTGGCGCAGTGTAGGGAGAAGGACCAGGAAGTGGAGAGACTGGCTGTAACTGTGACTGCGACTGGACAAGCGGTGGACTCTGTAGGGGAGAAGTAGGACCAGGAGAG